AAAAAAAAAAAAAAAAAACACTATTAAGCAAAAGAACCAAACCCGGTGAACAGCGAAGTGAACAAAAGAAAGCCCACAATAACATTACACAACATGACAAACCCACCAGTTCGCAATTTTACCAGTTCGCCCTACCACGACTTTGCAAACTTGTAGCGTTCTGTTTTTTTTTTTTTTCCCGGGTTGCTTATTGAGTCCGTTTCGCCTTGGGGGCCCTCGAAATGTTGGGCGCTGAAAAGGGGCAACCTCTGCGGTGAAGCAACACCGTTGGGGAAAGGCGGCGGATGTGTTTCAGGTCCGCTCACACACACACACACACCATAGAGAAGCTGATCCGCGCGAGGTAAAATGCATCTTCCACCTGTGCACAGCCTCCTACTGAAATGTTTAATTATTTTCCTTTACCTAAGTGTGTCACCAAATCCGGGGGTGCAGCTACAAGGTAGAAAAATAGTAGCGCACAAGGGGCAATGGCCTGTGCATGTAATCAATCCCATGAAGGGCGACATGACACACCAGTTTGGAAATTTCAAATTGTTTAGAAAACTGAATTTTATTTTTTTTAAAAATAGCGCAAACAAGTATGAAATGAAAAATTTGGAAAACGTGCCTTTGTTTGTGGTAACCAACGAATTCGACGACGCAATTTTGTCCTTCAGCTTGGACTACAACCGGGGCGAGAGGGGGGGGCCAGCGGGGAGACAAGCGGAGGAAGAGATAGAGAAGCATGTAGGGGGGCAAAGCAGAGGTGACGCAACGCCTAGCGACACACACCCGGGCGATAATGCAACCACGAACGGTGACACAACCACGAACAGTGACGCATCCCCCAGTGACACTGCTAATTCAGCGGAACGACCCCCGGCCGCCCACGGGGACAACCAGAGCGACGATGTAACGCTCGAAAAAAATGGCCACGAGGGGGAGGACCTGTTTCCCCTATTAAAAATTAACCAGAACAAACGGAAAGAAATCAATTTAAAAAACATACACAACAATAACGCGGTTGGAATTTTTTTCTTCGATATGAAAACTGCAGAAGCGTACAAAGATGATATATTACACTTATTTAATAAAAATTTAAAAGACAAAAAAAACAATAAGTTGTTCTTTGGGTCCAAGATCAAATTAACAAACTTGAAACATTTCCTAGAGCTTAAAGACTCCCACAGCAACACAATTGATTTTGTCCTAGTACCCCATTATGACCAACTCCAACACGTGTTAAAGAATAAAAAGGTTTTTTATGGCACCCCGGTGTACTACATTAATAAGGTAACTCTACATAAGTCCTCGATTAAAAAGGGTTTTTATGAGCTGTTTTTTTTTCAGAGTTTAAAGAAGGATGTGCGTGTGGAGTTATATCCAAATGTGTTTCTAACTTACACATTGGATGAGTCGAGTGATGATAGTGCCTCCCTCACCATACAGCTAGAAACGCTAGACAAGAAAAAGTACGTACCCATCTTCTTCTCCTATGAGCAAGCTAACGAATTTTATAAAATCTTTTTGGAAAAATTTAAAGGCCATTTTCACGAATATTGTCTTCCTACTCCCCGCATCAATTTGAACTCCTTTGAAAATTTATTAACTCTGTTAAAAATGGCTAACGAGAAAAAAGTACATCCTTTTTATAATATTTTTTTTGTCCCCATGGGTAGCTCCCCTTATGAAGAAAAACTGTCTAAACAGAAGACCAACATTTTCTCCTTTTACACGAAAAAACTTTTCCAGAGAATAAATTATGACTTATTCAGATCGTTTAGGAAAAACTTGAATTATTTAATTAATGATTATTTGTACGATTAGGGGGTGATAGGTGGGGAGGCGGTGAGGAATATATATCACAACTGAAGTTGGTGTGTGACCATATGACTCCTCCGTGTGTATAATGCCAAAAAGGCATAGCCCATGATGTGCTCATACAAGTTGCGATGTGCAGTTTTAATCTGCGTGAGGGAGAAGAAATCGGAACAAAAAAAAGAGAAAAAATAACATGTTTTACAATCTTCCCCCCTCCTTGACCGCGCTCTCCCCTCAATGGTGCCCCACTATGTGAGCATTACATTTGCGAACTGTGCTGAAGCGCTTCTTGGTTCGTCACGAACACACGTCGAGGCGCTTCCCCTTCGAAGTTTTTCTTCTCCAATTTATTATTTTTTTTTTTATTATTTATTTTTCCCCTCTGCATCTAATTCTTGGCCGTTGTGATGCGGCCTACGTAGATCCATTTTGAACCCATTTAATTTCTGCCTTGTGTCGTACTTCTTAGTGAGCACTGCGAAGTGGGCGAACCCGAGATAGGTTCAGTGGTGCCGCGATAATAATTCACAGCTGTAATAAGTCACCCCGATAATAAGTCACAGCAACGTGGAGAGTGACATATATGGTCAGGTGCAGTCACCTCGGCAGGGCAAACAAAGTGAAGTTATGATTATAGTTTAATATTCCACTCTGAGCCCACATATGGCGCTCCTCCCCCGCCCTTGTTTAGCACACTAAATAATTCGCGGAGAAAAACGTCCACCTAGGGAAGGAAAAAGGGTCACATTTGTTTTCACTTCAATAATGTGGTTGGCTGAGCGGAGTCCCCTCTCCACCTCGCACCGCAGAGCGCGACGCATGGGTTCTAAACTCCCCACCACCCACACCACATCCCCCTTTCAAGAAGGGTCCACCCCCCCTCCATTTTTAAACACAGAAGTGAAGTGGCCCCAAGTAGATGCAGTGGTGATTGCGATGTTGTAGAGTAGCAATTTATTTTTGCATATTATTGGAACATATTTTTCCAACTGTGCTAACCGCTGTTGTTTATAATATACCGCGGCGAGGGGGTGGGGGGACGTAACTCATAAACGCATGCACATTATGAGTATCTAAACAGACGCAGAAAGGGAACAGCGTCCCCTAATGTATAGTCAGATGCGTTGAGGGGATAAATCTGCCCACGTAAAAAAAAAAGAAAAAAAAAGTGTAAAATATATACATACATATACACCTGTACTAGCAATAGTTATTAACAGAAAAAAGGGAACAGGACCCCTTTTTTTTTTTGATTAGAGGGAAAAATATGAAGACAAAGGGCCCAGTCAAAATTGTACTGTTTGGTGCTCCCGGGGTAGGGAAGGGTACCTTTGCAGAAATTCTGTCCAAGAAAGAAAATCTGAAGCACATAAACATGGGAAATATACTAAGAGAAGAAATAAAAAAAAAAACTGCCATAGGGAAAGAAATCGACCATGTAGTAAAGAGTGGAAATTTGGTGCAAGATGACTTGATCATAAGAATAATGAAGGACGAAATAGCAAAGGTAACAGGAGACAAGAATAGCTATTTTAAGGGGTTCATTTTGGATGGCTTTCCACGTAACTTATTTCAGTGTAAAGAGCTGGTCAAAATTACAAGCATTGATCTGTTCATTAATATATACATGCCGAGACATATCCTCATTAAGAAAATTATGGGGAGGAGAATTTGTAATGAGTGCAACAGAAATTTTAACGTTGTTCATATTCGAGACGAGCCGTATGATATGCTTCCTATTTTGCCACCCCAGGATTGTGAGACGTGTAAGGGTAACCCAACGCTACAAACGAGGAGTGATGATAGTGAGGAAACTGTTACCCACCGACTTAACACATACGAGTCGACTAACTCCCCTCTTATTAATTTTTTTAAAAATTCGAATTGTAACCTCGTCGACTTTGAAATCAAGCGGGGGCTGCAGGACTTTGACGCTTTTCACCGTATCGTCGCGCAGCACCTTTAGCTCGCCACTCGGCGATCGTGTTGCGGCGTGGTGTCAGCGGCGGCCGACCACGGTTGATATGCTCGTGGCGACGTCCTGCCGCTCACACCGTGCAACAGCAAAGACGACATAGAGAAAGATCCAATTTTAATTTATCTCCTAATTTGTGAAGTTTTTAAAAAAAAAAAAAAAAAAAAAAAACATACTCCAAGGTGGGGTGTGCCACCTTAACAATTTTTTGAAACACTAAAAAAAGGAAAAAGAAAAAAAAGGGCCTGGCGTGTGTGCGCGTCTGGGGGGGGCAGCAAGACACTCTGCCTCCTCCATGCACAGCTGAATTACTGAAGTTTATTACAAATGGTGGGGCAGTTAAATAGGAGATGTTGTGTCTCCCCCAGAGCTACACAAACCAAACGCTCCCAGAACAAAAAGGGTGTAAAGGTCAAGTTCGCCTCTTGCCGCCCCTTTTGGAATGAAAGTTGTACAGGCCAGTACTATTTTTATTTCTATTGTATTCCATCATGTGCTGCACATTGGGGTACAGGGTAACGGTGGGCTTCAGGTAGACGGGCCTGTTAACCCTAAATTCTCCCGAGGACTGCTCAAACGTATTGTACAGGGTGGTTCTCTGCTTGACATTCCTCTCATAGTAAGGAGGAGCGTTCATACCGACATTGTTAAGCTTTCTCTTTTTCGAAATCAAATTATTATCCACTAATTGGTCTAGGACTTGGGGTCGATCCTCGTCATAGTATTTATTTCTCTCGTCTCGTTTTTGAACTCCCGATTTTCCACGTCCATATTTTCTCCTTCCAATAATTCCCAGGTCCTCATCCACCCTTATGATTCTTCCGTCCAGGATGGAGTTGTTCAGAAAATTCACAGCCTGCGTGTACCCCTCTTTGCTTTTGTACACGACGAAGCAGAAGCCACAGGGCGACTTCTCCGTGCGGTGCAGACCCATTATTATGTTTTCCACGTTTCCTGCCTGGCGCATGTGCTGCGGGGGAGAAGTGGGGAAGAAATGAGTACGACGCGCATGTGTGACGATGCAGGGGTGATGAAGCGCGGGCAACCCCGGAACGCGTCGCTCTCCCCCTACTTACCTCATAAATCTGCTGCTCCGTTGTATAAATGGACAAATTGCCAATGTACACCGTTTTGGAAAATTGAATTTTGTTCAGCCAGTCCTCATAGTCGTTGCAAAGGGCCCTATCGTAATACTTCCTCTTCTTGTAGACCTCTTCGTACAAATGCGACATGGTTTTTTTTTTTTTTATATTTCACTTTGGAGAAAAACGGCTCAACCGAAATGGTTTTACCTTGGGGAGGGTGCAACACCTGCTAAATGCGCAGACGGAAATGCCCCTGTACGTCTCTTCCGCGTGTACCTCGCCAAAGAGGAATGGTGTTGTCTCCCCAACTGGACTGATATATTTTTTTGCTAACCACTCGATACGGTGTACGTTCGAGGGCTCTCACTACATTATCTGCTTGGCCAAATAACAGCGCAAAATGGGGGGACAGGGGGGGTAAACAAAAAGGCTCACTCGCTGATCTACCAAGAGGAGATTTTATATACAGACTTAAAAGTATGAACTGAACACATAGGTAATCGTTTTTATTTATATATACATGTATGTCGCACGCAATAGAGGGAAAAAAAAAAAACAATCTGAGCAAGTACGTCACTTCCAAAAAAAAAAAAACGACTACGTTGGTTGACGCGCGGAAATTCCTCCTTTACAGCTCCTGCGCCAAGGCAGTTGATTTGAGATTGGGTTTTCTTTTTTTCTTTTTTTTTTCCCAAAAAAATTTTTTCCAATCAAAGGGTAACCCCAAACGGGTATAAGGCAAAAAGCCTTAAGTGCAGTAAAAAAAAAAAAAAAAGGTCCCTCCAATGACGTGAGAATAACGCTTTATATAGTATACATGTAGTGGGTACCTTTTCTATGCCATCTGGGGGGAAAACAACAAAGTGCTATTCATTCGGGCATACATATTAACCTTTTAACTGTGTGTTTCTGCGCTCCACATGAGTCAGGTTTGCCCGGTTATAAGTCGTCTCATACAGTGCAGGAGGAAGAGGACCTCGAACGTGTTTCGCACGGTTCAGTTACGCGAGGTTGAAAACACGAGAACGCACAACAAAGTGGACGACGAATTTGTTTTTGCGTAAATTGAGCCGCTGCAGCTACGAAAATATTATTGCCGCGGGAGTGGTTAAAAAATGTGGGCAGCAGGAACGGGAAATAAAATATATATATATAATAAATAAAAAATAAATTGAAGATAAAGCAAAAAAGGGACGGACAGGGGAGAAAAAAAAAACTTTCAGCCGCCGCCCCATTCCTTGCTCCATTCCCCTTAGCTGCACAGGGCATCCCAATATACAAAAGTTCGAACTTATAAACACTTCATTTATGCATTTTCGCGAGAAGGAGGAGCGTGTCGCATACACTGCGCAGAGGTACACCTGAAGCTGTTCTTTCATACAGTACAAGAAAAAAAGGGGAATTACTTTTTTTTCTTTTTTGCCAAAACGAGCTGGTTGTGAGGCCACCCCATCGGACAAGCTCACAAGGGATGAAAACAACGTAGCCGCGGTGTCCACTTCGCTAACGAAACAAATTACCTGACGAAGAGGGAATTGTAAGCCGGAGCAATAATTGAGACTTTTCCCCAATTTAGAAGCGAGCACGGACAGAAGAGCAGGTGCCCCATTTGAAGAGTGAGAAGTGGATCACCACCTTTGGGATAAACCCCCCTCCTGTAGCGGAAAAAAAAAAAAAAAAAAAATGAAGGCTGTGTCGATAAGGCAGCTGAGTGCCATAATCATCCTAGATAATAATGGGAAGCGAATCGCAGTGAAGTATTACAATGACCAGTTCGCACCAAAGGGGGAAAACAAATTATTGTACAAGAGCTCAAGCAAGGATATGATGAGTACCCCATTTGAAGAAACGTATAATAATTTACGAACAGTGGAGGACCAGAAATTATTTGAAAATGATATAACAGAGAAAGCTAGGAAGCTGGGTGGGAACTCCAACGAAACGGAAGTGTTAGTCTTGAATAAATACACCATCCTCTACCTGTTAATAAATGATGTGAGCATATATATCGTAGGAGACGAAAGTGATAATGAAATTATTTTGCATGAAGTTATGCAAACGGTTCAGCAGTGCCTAGATAATGTTACAAATAATCAGATCGGGAAGAAACAACTGTTGGACAAACTGGATTCAATATATTTAATCCTCGACGAAATTGCTGATAGCGGAATTATTTTGGAGACCAATCCTAACGTAATTATAAATCGGTTGTACATGCACGAGAGCGACTTGCAGGAACACACACCCCTCAACCAGGCCATCTCCTCGGCTAAAGAGAACATAATTCGCAGTCTGCTCAGCGGCACGTAGGGTGGACAGAGCAGCGTCGAGCAGCATCCAGCAGCATCCAGCAGCACTGAGCAACACACACGCTCTCTTTTTTTTTTTTTTTTTTTTTTAAGTGACAAATTTTTTTAAGCGTTTACATTTCCCCAATTTTTGGAGCGCCCTTATGCGGCACCGCGGTGTTTTTACTTGTGGCGACGTTTAAAAAGGGGAGGAACGGCACAAGGAAGCCACGAAAACAAAGTTATAAAAAAAAAAAAAAAAAGTGGAAGCCACGAAAACAAAGTTATAAAAAAAAAAAAAAAAAGTGGAAGCCACAAAGCGAAGCTATACATACTCCATGCGGGGCTAACTAGCTTGGCAGTCACTCCTAAAAATGGCCCAGCAGAAAAGGGAAACGCCCGTGGGGCAAGCCCATTGTACGGCCACCCATTTTTTTTTAAACTGCACCCTGATGAACCTTTTTACACCGCTTACCCAAACGGACGATTTAATTTCCTTATCCATATGTGCCCATGTGCACCGTTATAACATTTCGTGGTTGTAGGTAACCTCTCTCTCCCCCCCCCTCTTTCCTTCTCTATGCTTTTGCCAAATGAAGCATTGAGAGCAAAACACGTATGCATACGCGAACGAGACAAGCGATTTGTCAATCGGTTTGCCACCCCACGTTATAGCTTTCTTTTTCGCTCCCGCTTGGCATCCTCTGCATCCAATTTGTGTTTTTTCTGTTCCTTCAGTTGGTGCTCTTCGTTTCTGCTTGGTTTTTCTCTGCTTCTCCGTTTATTCGACTCTCGTTCGCGATCTCTTTCTCGGTCTCGGTCCCGTTCGCGTTCCCTTTCCCTGTCTCGGTCCCGTTCTCGGTCTCGTTCGCGGTCTCTTTCTCGTTCTCGATCTCTGTCTCTATCTCGATCCCTTTCTCGGTCTCGTTCCCTATCTCGGTCTCGTTCCCTATCTCGATCTCTATCTCTGTCTCCTTCCCTGTCCCTCTCTTTATATCGGTCCCTTTCCCGTTCCTTTCCCCTGCCTGAATCCCTTCCCGTGTCCCTGCGCTTGTCGCGCTCCCAGTCCCTTTCCCACTCCCTGTCTCTTTTCCTCTCCCTTTCCACGTAGTCTCTTTTGTACCACTCCCTTTCCCTACTCCTATCGTGTATGCTCCTCCTCTCTACCCTACTTGTGCTGTCCCTGATTTTGCCCGACCTTCCGTGGTAACTATGAGTAGGGTACCCACCATCCCGAATTGACGAGTGCCTGCTGCTTTCAGAACTCCTCTCGCGTCTCCACCGGGTATCTCCGCGGAAGCTACCATCCCGCTGTGTTCCATATCGACCGTATTGTCCATGATCGTCGTCCTCCTCCATGTGCTGTTCCTTCACTTTATAATTATTCCCTTTTTTCTCCTTCACATCTGCTCCCCTATCGCGATCTTTTAAGGACGGTTTCTTTTCCCTCTCTACAGCTGAGTGGCGATGATCAGATTTTTTAAAAGCATCACCTGGAGGAGCTCGTGTACTTAGCTCAGTCCTACTTGAATTGGTTATCGCATCAGGGTTATACCTATGGGGGGGCGTTGCTTCCCTTCTCCGTCTTTCCTTGCCACTGGCGTGGTGCTGTGTCTGCTTGTTTGTCTCCATCACACTTTGCACCTTTTCTGCGTTCCTTTTGTTGTGAACTCCTTGATTCTCTTTATTCTCCTGATTGTCCTTATTTTCCTCCGCTATGAGGGGGAAAAAAAAAAAAAAAAAAAAAAAAAAGATGAGGGGAGGGGAAAATACCCTAGTGCAGTTAATAATGCATGTAATTATTTGCCGTTATGCAGACGCGCCCGCTTCACCAACGCAGTGGCCTTTGCGCGAAGTAAAACCTACCGATTGGGGGTATCGTTGTCGGGGTGGTTGCGGGTGCAGGGGGGTGGCCGCGTCCAGACGACGCAGCAGCAGCGGAGCGCATAAGCACCTCGCCATATCTACTGTAGAAAACAGCCCTCCTGTAATTGCCCACATTTACGAATCTGAAATTTTCCTGTATCTTCCTATAGTTTAATTTAGAAGTGTCTCTCTTTTTAAAATTCTTTGTCATGAAACTATGAGCAGCTTTTATATTATTTCGTTCGCTTACTTTTTCTGGTAAAGGGTAGGTGGTGAACCAAGGGTGGTGCATTGCCTGTAGGGCAGACAACCTCTCAAAGGGATTCCATTTTAGCAAATTTTTTATTAAATCTAATCCTACATCTCCTACTCCTGGTATACTTCTAATTGCATTTTCTACTTCATTTTTTTTATTTTGATTTATCTTGTTCAAATTATTTGGGTGCACAGGATTTAAAATTGGGTTGTTCCAATTGGGTAAATGTCTTAGCAATTTCATTTCCCTATTTGTGGGTGCTCCTATTTTATTCAGAATGATTCTCAAAATGTCTGTTTCATTGTCTGCTGAGAAAATAGGGTTACTGGTAAGGAGCTCTGCTAATACACATCCACAGCTCCACATATCCACTGACGAAGAATAATAATTTGATCCGAGTAGCAATTCTGGGGGTCTGTACCAAAGGGTAATAACTCTGTTTGTCATATTTGAGGGAGTTACATCTGCATGGAATCTTGCTAGACCAAAATCAGCTAGCTTTAAGATTCCATTTTTATCAATTAGTAAATTAGCTATTTTGACATCTCGGTGAATTATATTATTTTTGTGACAATAATTTAATGCTCTTAATAGCTGCAGGAAAATATTCTTCACCTCTCCTATGGTGAAAAGATTTCCATTTTTATATCTGTCCTTTTGGGCTCTTTCATCTCTTAGGAGCTCGCTGTACCCTGATAGGTCGAACGGCACGTACTCGAACACCATCCAAATGGACGAGTTCGCCTCGGCCTTCTTGCGGAACGACGGCAGGGAAGAGGAAGAAGAAGCCACGGAGGAGGAAGACGATGATGATGACGAGTGGGACGATGAGCGGGACGGTGATCTCGACGAAAGGGCAACCGCACCCCCCGCGCAGGAGGCCTTCGAGGGGGAAACTGACCTGGCGAGAGACGTGCGGGACGAGGACCGCCTCACAGCGCCGCTCATTAACTTAGAGGAGGCTCCCCGCCGTACTTGCTTCAATCCCTGTAGCTCGTGTAACCGCTCCGACGTGGTTGGGCCGCAGGGCAACTCTGGCAAGTCCTCACTGGGGGGTAGTTTGGTGTAAACCACCCCCATTAACTCCACAATATTTTTATGCTTTAAGGAATTCAAAATGGAGATTTCTCTTATGTATGTTTTGGCTAGTCCCTCTTTGTTTCCATTTATTTTTAATTTCTTCAAGGCCACCCTCTTGTTGTTTGTAATGTCTTCAGCCATCCACACATCTCCATAAGCTCCTTGACCTACTTGATGTACTTTCACAAAATTTTTTACTTTCATTTTTATCTCTCCTTTAAGTGAGTTGATTAATATTTCGTGAACCCTTTGTCCACATTTCTTTGTTTCGACCTTGGTACTCCTTAGCTTTGCCTTGCTCGAAATTTCTTTCCTGATTCGAATAATGCTATCCCGGGAAAGCTTGGTAACGGTACCCTCCTTCATGTCCGCGCTATACAGGCCGCTCACCCTCTTCGTGCTACACACACTATACACTCCGTCAACGGTATAGTTGATGTGGTGCGCCTTATCTGTGTTGTTCGTCTCTGTCAGGTCTTGCGGGTTCAGCATATACGACGCCAGGGAGGAGTTGGGTGTGTGAGCGGTATCCGAAGTGCGGGGGTTCCTGACAGGGACGGAGCTACGGCTGGCCCTGTTCGAACCAGGTTCATCGGCTACACCGATGGGGTATGCTACACCACTGCAGCCTATCTTGCCAAAGGTCTGAATGCCAGTGGGCTTGACCGCTCCTCCCTTGACCCCTAAATGAGTGAAGCTTGTTTCTTCTTTGAGGCCCTGCGCCTGGTCGGATTTTCCCACAATGGCGTTTGCATGTTCCCCTTGGTTGTCCTTACTACTGGCAGCCCTATTTCCGAAGATGCTGCTTCTACTGTTGGACGTCTCCCTTCCTGTTACGTTAACGAAATTTTTCGCACCACTGGAGAGTGCACTAACTGCGGTGAAGCCACCACCCACGGAGCTGATCGGGTTGGTCAAGGTCGTGTCCATCGGGGTGGAACACTTGGTACTTCCCCTTCGGCTAGCCTCGGCAGCATTGATTTGTTCACCTCGTGTGGAACCAGTTCTGTCCCCACCACCCCTGCTCCTTATCCCTTTTTGTCTCAACACTCTGGCAACTGAACCCATGTGAACCCTCTTGGCGCCTTCCAAAAAATCAATTTCTTGGCGCCCCCTCTGGACAATCTTTTGCAAAATTTCTGTCGTTACCTCCTCACGCTGACCCTTCTGCCAATTTTGAAAACCGCTCGTCATGTACATGTCCCACAGGTCGTTCAACCTTTTACTAATTTTTTTCACATTTTTTTGTCCGTACTCACTTGAGTGCATCATATTGGCGAGTATGTTCTGTGGGTCTACATTAGGTGGGCCTCCCAGTGGTGCTGCTTCGCCTGTCTCTGAGACATCACATTTCGTTTCACCTCCACCAGGGCAGTTACACTTCAGGCATGGAGGGGTAGACGTTGCCTCCTGTTCTGGTGAAGTCGCCAAAGAGGTTTGTTCCTTTTTCATCTCCGTCTTCTCCGTCTTCTCCTTCTTCTCCTTCGTCCTGCCCTTTGTGCGTCCCCTCCTGATGGTACCCTTCCCAAGGTCGTGCAAATAACGAAGGAACAATTCTTCATTGTCCCTTTCCCTTGAGGTAAATTCATTAATTTTTTTAAACACTTCCCTCACGTCTTCGTCCCCTAAATTGTCTATGACCTCCTCATAGCTGTTCCATAATCGTTTTTTAATTTCCTCCTTTTTCAAAATAAAAAAATCATTAAAAAGTTTTTTTTTGAAAAAAGAAATTTTGGACAGAAAGGACGATGGGCAATCCACATTTTTTAAAAACTCCTTTTTTATGTCTAACTCTAGGGTATTTGTTTCTAGGAAGAAATTTTTTTTGCCAGAACAAAAGTGTGTTCCTGGTCCCCCCCTGAAAATTTCGAGGAACAAATCCCTCCTCCTATCTCGACTTCTTCCCTTTCGTCCTGCGTCCTCATTCCTCTCTTGGTTCATCGTTTGGCTAGTGGAGATGTCACGCATGTGGTGGGGGAGGACAAGGTGAATCTCCTGCGCAATGTGCAGTGAGAACAAATCGTTTATTCCCTCTTGCGGCACCGTTATAATATCATAATGTGGCAAGAGTGGCACACATGTACAGGCAACAGTGTAGGGGCACACGTGCAAGGTCCATTTGCACGGTCCAATTGACAATGGGAGGTCTTATCCTCACCCGCTATGCATAACCATGCATGTGCTCTCCCCCTGCAAAACACGAGCTCAGCCAATTGATGGAGCAACTCACATGGACGGATTCGGCCCCCCTGACGACTCTTCCCGGTAACGCCAAGGCAGACCCCCCACTAATGAAGACTACAACAGGGGTGAAAACAAAATGGGTTGCACAACGACTGGGGGAAAATGCCAATCGGGGTGGCTTCTTCCCTCTCGGAAGGTCAGATGTGAGGACAGTAGTTTTTGGTATGCGGTGGGGGGGGCAGTATAGCAACGGGGTGTAGCAACGAGGTGTAGTAGCGGGGTAAAGCAGTGGGATGCAGCAGCGGGAAGGAGCAGCGTGTTTGTAGGCGTAGAGCGGCAACTTCGGGTGGGACACCTCTCCACGCAGCACTCACAAATGACGATCGAGCGATTACTCCGCTGCAAGTGACGCGCAGGGGAATAAAAAAAAGCCCCTCGCGCGTTCGCGGCTGTGTTCAGCCTAACAAAGCAGTAATGATAAAAAAAAACAAAATTTAAAAAGAAAAAAAAAAAAAAAACTGACTAAAAAAATTAATAAATAGTGAGATAAGAACATTAACAAAAGAAACCATTTCGAATGTGTCACTTTACCACCCTACTATGCATGACGGAGAAAATGCAAAGAATCGCCATTCCACAAAAAAAAAAAAAAAAAAAAAAAAAAAAACGTACCGAGAGAACTACATGTCGTTGCCGGCATATCTCATATGCACAGGAATGACCAAAACATGTTGCAAAAAAAAAAAAAAAAATGTCTCCTAATAAAATTACCCAGCTGACAAGCTAAACAAAATATTCGCCAACTCATCTCACCTGATACGTGTTGCAAATTAACCCATGTTTTACACTCGAGGAAGGTGATCTCAACCATAAGAGCTCACACAATAATAGTGTTGTCCCTAAGCCGAGTGTTGACGGCAGTGCCACGGCGGAGATAGGACTGCGTATACACTTTTCCATTTCTTGTGAATACATCTACATTGGGAGGTGTGACATGGGTTGCAAGATCCACTCATTTAGTGAGGGACGTGTCCCATGAAGTTGAACCCATGGGGGGAGAGGAAGTGAGTCGGTTGGCCAGATCACCAATAGATGATGGGTCATGGGGAACAGAAGCTGATAGGGCAATGTATGATCGTCTGATTGAGCAGCCCACCAAACGATGCGTGACCCCTAATGGGGAGCTCGGCACAAAAATGTACCCGAGAAGGAGAGACGCCCCTGCTTGTGTGTGCACCCTCCCCCCCCCGGAAGGCAAAAAATGCGCAATAGAATCAATAAAGAATAGACCCCTAGTTATGGCGCACTCGGTCTAAATTGAACCGGCCTCAAAAGCTCCAAAGAATTTTCCTTACAAGTAGAATTTTTCTCGCTAGAACATGTATCATTTATTTTCCTTTTCTCTTTTGGGGTTATACTGTCTCACACCCGAATGGACCACATTTAAGCCCCCTACAAAAAAAGTATAACTCCCATTGTTGAAATGAGGCAAGTCCACAATAATATTTCTTTTCTGCTCTCTCCCCGAATGAGGGACATCTCTCAGGGGGTGACGATACATCCGTGTAGAAACACTAAAATGATATTCATATATTTATGATTGGAATAAATTTATAAAAAAAATGACCCCAGGGGAGAGACGCATCAATTCGCGAGGGAAACGCCAAATGGGTAGATAACGAAGGGAGTGTAGGAAGGGAGGAGAAGGTGTACACCCTCTTGTAAAACTAATTCGAAATATATGTTAGGCGAATGAACGTGTCCTTTGGGGGAAGTATTATAACCCTTTAAAAGAAATGAAACATTCATTTTTCCTGCATCCTCATTCGGGTCCAAAAAAATGTGTAAAAGGGTGAGGGAAAGACAAAACTGGTATTGTACACTACGTATTGGGAATGTAAACTTTGGGGGAAAAAAAAAAAAAATATCCAGTATACACATTTTAAAGGTTTCATTTTGTTTCCTTCCTGCGGGGGAGAATTCATTTTGTCTTCATTTTTTTTTTTTTTTTTTTTTTTGGGGCTCTCCCCTTGCAGTAACGGTCCCGTATGCTAAGGAGGGAAAGCGGGGTTATGTCCACACAACCTTTTCCCTCGGAAAAGAACCTGTTATTTGCCTCCAATTAACTGTCTTGTGAAGAAGGGAAAGGACTAGCAAAAGGACTGGCCCGAAGATTGTCGCACAGGCACAATGCGGGTAAAAATAAGGGAAAAGAGAAGGATACGTGTAAATATGCATTTGGGTATGCGCTAAATTGGGGAAAATTAAAAAAAAATAAATATATACATATATATATTGAGAAGATGTGCAATGATTTTTTTTTTTTTTTTTTTTTTTTCCTTTTTCTCTTGTATGCTCCTCCCAAATAGTGTGTTCTTCGAAATTTTCTCCAAAAAAAAAATACACAAAATAAGCGCATCATTTTGCATGCTATATAGGATATACATTTGGGAGCAGTTCGAAGTGCTCATTTGTTTTTTTTTTTTTACTTATCGAAAATGTAAATTTTATTATTTATCATTTTTTTTTTTTTTTTCAAAGGAGCCCATGAGGTATGACTCTCTTTTCATATCCTCACATAAGGTTCATCCGAAGGGAGTGGGTGGGAAAAATATGCTAAGAAATATTTACACCCTTTTGCTACATTCAAGTCCACACACCCGCTGCACAGAAGGGAGATGGAGGATATAAAAGGAGAATCCATCAGGAGTGAACCCCCCATGGGAGATGAACCCACCAAGACAAACAATGATAAGAAGAAGAAGAAAAAAAAAAAAAAAAAAGTAGAAAAATGCACAAACAAAATTACCAACTTCTTCAGTGTTGTCAAGAGTACCAAAGTGGCCAAGAGATTTCAGACACCGAACCCCTCCAACTGTGAGAATAACCGACACGCCGATGAACACCCATCAGGCATACACACCATCATAAATAAAAAATGTGTAGCAAAGAATTCCCAAGTGAAGGAAAATATGCACCAGACTTGTGACCAAAATGTCTTACCCACTCATGTAGATGCAGGAGGAGGAGGAGGAGGAGGACAAGAAGAAGACGGGACAAATCAAATGCTATATCCTCCAATAAAGGAAAACACATTTTATGCCTCACCAAGAATAGAAAATGAACTAACAAATAAGATGAATTGCGTTAATGTGAAAACGGCTGCGAAGATTTGCGGAATTACCAATGTCAAGTCGATTTTGAGGAGGGACGTCAGTAGGGTGCCGACCCTTGGCGCGACGTTGAGGAGGAAGGACGAGGGGGATGTGAAAAATGATGGTGAGGAGAAGCCGCGTTGCGAAAATTCCCCTGAGTGGAGACCCCCTCATGGAGAACCCCAAGACGAGGGGAACAAAACAAAAAGGGGACTCAAAAGAAAAAAAGATGAATCGGTTGACGAGTGTGACACGGATGATGTGAGTAGCTCACTGGATATGAGCGAAACGGAAGAGGATGGTGTGGATGCTGTTCCTGAGCAGGATCAGTTGAAGGGACCCCGCGTAGACTTTTCTTCCAAATCACCCACACAAGGGAATAACGTTGAAAATGTTCACTTAGAACCCAATAGGAGAGATTACAAAGAGGAAAATATGTGCTCCTCCTCCTCCCCCCCTGAAGAATGCGCAAAGGTAGTGAAGACGAGGAAATTTTCCCTTGTCAATTTTTTCGGCAATGACATTGAAATTACTGTAAATGTAAATGAGGACAGTGCTTCCGAGGGTAGGTTCAGCAGTGCGGATAGCGATGGGAGTGGGTCCAACTTGGGCTGCACCGGGAGATCCAAGCTCAGACGTGACGCGACCAGTGATGCGAAAAGGAGAAATGGTGAAGATACACCCAAAGGCGGCGTTGGCGAGGACGAAATGGACACCCTCAGAACGCGAACCCCATCGTACAAGAGAAATTCCATTTCGGACGGAGAAAGATACAGTAAAAATAATGAAGCAATTTACGCGAAGAAGAAAAAAAAAAGAGAAAGGTATAGCCCCGATAGGGATGATGCGGAGGGAAAAGGGGGTCAAGCCAGTGATGAGTTGTCCCAGAACGAACATGCGAACAGCCCCTTAACACAAGGAAGGAGAAATTTTGTAAAGGAAAACAAACGAGTGCTAAAATCGGATAATGAATTCGAATTGGAGCGAGCCAAAACGAAGAGGGTTCGAATCGGGAGAGTCAGTTGTGCAGGGGTAGGTGCGCACACAAGCATTGGCATGGACATAGATGCCCAAGCGGATGCCGACGAGAAGGGAGGAGGACGCAACTACTCTTCCAACCGGGCTGGTAGGAAAACGTGCCTGAATGTTGGCTTTGTTAGCGGTTTTTGCAGAAAAACGAGGAAAAGCTGCGCAGCGGGGGTAGGTGGCGGGGATGCCGGTGGCGAAGGTGCTATTGGCTCCGATAACGATGATGGTGAGGAGGATGGGGAAGACGGCGACGATGAGGATGGCGAAGATGACCCCACCATGCACCCAGATGGCGCGTGGGACGAGCATGCAAAGAAGGCACAAAACAGGAACAGAAAAGACGGCGCACTTGGGAGGAGGAACCACTTCGAAACGAACGTATACCAAATGAAAAACAACGTGCAGGAAAAATTAACTTCCATTAAAAATAACTTCAGGCTAAATGATAACGTAAGGGATATTCTAAATGAGAAGAGGCGGATCAAAATTCTTCGAGTTTTAAACAAGTACTATTTTGAAAGGGAGTACAAGGACTACGTGGAGGTTCATCAGGGGGCAAGGGAAGGCCCCCAGAGGAGCGTCCCGCAGAAGGGTTCCAGGGCAAAGTGTTCCACTGCGAATTGCTCCTTTGCGAAAGGCGCCACCCCACGTGAACTGTTGAGAGACCACTCGAGCAAACCCTTCACCTTCTTCATCGCTGGGAAGTTCACCCTCTTTAGCAACTTCGCTCTGGCCAAGAAGTTGAAAGATGCAGGGTACGGAATAACGAGTAACTTACGGAGAAGCAACTCCTTAATCATTGGACATGATTTAAGTGAGGACTTTGTAAAAAAAATAGAAAATTTTAAAGGTCGTATTTTTGGGGAAGAAGACATTCTAGACCACCTAAATGTAGATGTAAAAAAACGCATTGATCTTTTTGCCCCGATAAATAAAAATAACGCAAAACGGTACAAGTTTCTAATTAACCAAACTAATATAGATAGTGCACCCACAAAATATATTCAGAGAAAGGTGCTTCAGTTTTGTAGAACCATACGGAAGAGCTTGTCTGAAAGTTTAGAGACTTGTCATGCTAAGTATAAGAATGTATTGCTTTCTAATTTGACGAAACAGTTAAGTGACTTTTTTTTATTTTTGCATTTGTCCAGGGGGAAATTCCACTCCAACATAAACTCCCTGTTGCTTTGGTACAGAAGGAAGTACCACGAGTTGATGATCCCGCTGCGCAGTGGTGAGGATATTTACGAATTTGTTCTCTTCGTGCAAAACCTCTGCGACGTTTTCTCCACGTGCTATATTAGGGATGACTTGTTGACATGCGACCAGGGGGGGAAGTGCCACCCGTCGGGAGGGTGCATTTCGGAGGGAGAAACCAGGTCAGAGGAAACCCCCCTGGACAGTCAAGCGAGCACCCCTCAACGGAGAAGCGGCACCCTGCACACGTTCATGGATCCATCACAGAGCAGCCATTCAAAGGAAGACAGCCAAGAACGGAAAAAAAACGACACTAATATTGAGAAGAAAATACACCCCCCAGGAATTCATCACGATGAGGATGGAGCGGAGTCCTCCCTGGAGTACATTTCACCAGAGGACTACTTCGAGCATACAGATGAGTCAGGTGAAATGTCCAACGAGGAAAAGGAACTGAACAATGACAACAGTGCTATTTCGTTCGAGAAAAGCATCACGCATAATATGAGGAAGAGTGAGAAGCTGAAAATAGTAACCAATTTATGGAGAGTCTTTTTTCGGCCCAACAGTCTGTACGAAATTGCGGGTCATAAAAATGAAGTTTTGAAATTGTACAAAATTTTGAGGAAACTTTTTCCTGAAGTGGGCGTAGAGACGACACCCTTCTCCAATGGAAGGTTAACTCCCAAGGGGCGCAGCAAACGAAAGGATCCATCAGACATGCATCAAGAGAAGAGTAATATTATATTCCTAGTCTACCCCCCCAACTGTGGAGTAAAGAGATTAGTTGAGCTGATCTGCTACGCCTGTGATTTATGTCCAATATATGAAAGTAAAGTTCAAAAGTATAAAAACATAAATTATTTTTTTAAATACACACATGGGTTGAAACCAATTTCTATATATAATGCTAATAAGTTAGACAAGAATTCCCTGAATGAATTGAGCGCTCGGAACGATGTGAGCATTTGCATGTATGAGGACAAGAATTACGTGATGAATAGCTTATCGAGTTTCTCCTTTCCTTTGTTAGACAGCATAAACCATGTGCTCATTAAATTTGGTGTTCCTTCAAGAGATGCTTTATTTTTTAGGTGTTTTTCTGTTTGTTCTTGTGTTATAAAAAATTTGAATAAAGAATTGTTTAGCATATTATTTGAGACGTGCAGGTTGAAGGACTTTTCCTACTCGATCGAGAGCGTCTACAGCAAGATGCACCTCGTGGCTTCGTACGTCAATTGTGTGCAGAGGAGAAGCGGGGAGGATGGACTTTGTGTTAGCGACCAGGAACCAGGAGCGAGGACAGCGGAGGAAGCTCCGTTTAACTTCCCCAATGATGTGTTGCACGAGTATATATCGAACCATCTCATGAATCGATTCTTTATGAATAACTATGACGAGGTGGAGCGCGCGCTGAGCGGCGAGTTAGACGGCAAGTTAGAAAACGAGGCGACATACTGGCGCAGCAATGGGCCAACGGTTTGCCATTCTCCGGGCCACACGAGCAGGGAGAACAGCGGAACCCGCGAGAAAAAGGCAAAGATGATGAAGAGGCTAAACGAAGACTATTACTTTTTTAGGGGATTCGACGTGGAGGACATACGGAGTCTGGTCCACGACTGGTATGACAAGATGCACATACAGAATGAGAAATTAATTTTTGATTTAACGATAAAAAAAAATAGCAGTCTCCTGCATGAGAGGAGCGATTATTTGTATATGGACGACGGGGCCAGGAGGGACAGAGAACGCATTCTCATTAAAGTCTTGGAGCTTTTTTTATACGCTTCCATTTTGGTCAAGTCAGACGACGTCAACATAAATTTGATTGCCGTAGATATGGCCGTGTACTGGAGGAAATATCTCTTCATGAGTCCGCCCTTCCGGTTGGCGTATCGCGGTAGTGGTAGTGGTAGCGGGGGGGGAGGCGGTAGAGACGGCGGGGAAGGCACACGAGGGGGCGGGAAAAACCTGGCGACACGGCAAAAAAAGGAAGAATTGGTCGCCCTCCAAACAAGGGCAAACAACAACGACTTCATCAACGAAACGAAGGTGAAAGACCACATGAAGGGGAAGATGGACAAGTGCAACAAAATATTCTGCGAGAAGGTGAAGAAGTACCGGAGCCTGATGGCACACTTCGGGTGCCCCTTCAATTTCTCCTCCGCCGGCGTGGTGTACGACTTTCTTCAGAACAGCAAGGTGGCGAATTTGGCCCCCCGCAGGCGTGGTGACGCCAAGTCGTGACGCAGAGCGGTGATGCGAGAAGTTGTTACGTCAATCTGTTATGCAAACCGCTATCCGACGCTGCGCAGGCCGCTATTCGCCGCTGCCCCCGCTACCGTCGTTGCCCCCCTTCTGAAAGACCAGCGTGGAGGTGTGGCCCATCTTGAAGCTCCTGAAGACCTTCCCCCGTGGGGTGAACATAACATTTTTTGTCCAGCTCGGAGGACCCTTCGAGGAAGACCCACAAGCATTCATCATGCTAGGGACATACCTCAGTGACTTATAAATGAAATAGGATGCAGAAAAATCAACCTTCTCCACAAGGGACAAAGAAAACGTATTGGAAAAGTCACATGTTAAGTACTTGTCATTGACGCGAAGGTGTAGGAAGCCATTGTCCTTAAGGAGAAGAGAAGCATTTTTAAATAGCCAATAAAATAAGCGATTGAGTAGGAGGTACTCGGACTTTTTGTAATACTTGAGAAAGATATTCCTGTCGCTGTGGAGCTTTTCCTTTTGTATGTTCCATTTGGTTTGTATAAAATCATCTGGCGGAAGCACGAATGGAAAATTAAAAATGATAACGTCAAATGTGTTGTGTAGAAAATGCTCTCCAATTTTTTCCACATCAATTTCTGGAACATAGATACCTCCACAAGATTCTAATATTTTTAAATTCTTCGAAAAAATACTACCACAGTTTCTTAGCAACACATTTGGACTCTCCATGGAGGTGGCCACTACTTGACATGGACGCAACTCCCTCTGAAGTAAAGTACTAAAGGATAAATTTCCTTCGCCCACACATAAAATTTTTTTCTCCTTTTCGTACACGACATCTGCTATGATTAAATCGGAGTAATTATTTTTCTGTACGCAATCGAATAGGTACTCCTGGTACCTCCCCTTGATGTAATTCTCCTTCTCATTTTCTAACTCCTTTTTTAATCTGTTATAATCTGCTTTTATGCACTCTTTGTATTTGTTTAAATTTTGCTTACTCATCAGTTTGGTACGTAGTAGTAACCCGTCTTTTTCCTCCCCCTCCTTCAATTCTTCTTCTTTCCCTATGTGGTACTTGCCTATGTGTATTAATTTTTCAAATATGCTTAGCTGCTTCTCCAGCTGGTGTATTTTGTGAGCCACTCCGGTGAAATGAGATTTGCCTACCTTGGGGAGGAGGAGTAATTTACGCTTGCCTCTCCTGGCATATTGGGGGGAAAAGCGACTCATCATTTTTGGCACTTCAGTGACCGGGCGGGGAGAGAGATACAAACGAGTTGGGGGGTGCCCGGCGTGTAGAGGCCAAGGGAGGAACTCCTTTTTAAATAATAATAGATGTGAATGGTCGCCATTTTTTTATGGGTATAACTGTGCATCTCTCCCCCCGCCGGTATTACAACTGTAATGGCGACTTACATAGCCAAGACTTAAAAGTAACCGCTTAAATGAACAGGCTCCTTGCCTACCTGTTGATGGGTCGATTCGCAAACGTGGTGGTGGGGTAGAGTTGCGTACCTCATGTTTAATGTGCCCAGTGCGGGATCCGCCTTGCCACATTTTTTTTAACCGCCTTTTTTTTGAGCCCCAAATTTTTGCGCATAGGAAAAACAAAAAAAAAAAAAAAAAAAAAATTTTCCACAATGGTAAAAATAAACATATTGCAGTGTTCAAGCGCACCACGCGGGGGAATAGCTATTTTTTTTTTTTTTTTCACCCTATAAACAATTTCAAAAAAAGAATGTCAATTTGATGATGGAAGAAGTGTCACCCTGATTATGTCAGGACGAGACGCCAGCGTGAGCATAACCTCTTTTGTAAAATGACGTACACTCAATCGGTCATTTGGGATTTTCCAAAGCGACGGATAATAAAGCGAGTGCAGGCAACATTATATGTCCATTTGAAGGAGGCTTAATTTGGCATCCCCACGTGCGGGAAGCAGCACGGATATTATCAGTTATAACTGGTGTTGACTTGGGCCCTTGCATCCCTCCCTCCCCATTTGTTTTTTGAATTTTATATTTTACGTTATTTTATTTTATTTTTTCTGAATTATTTTCTGAATTATTTATGCATTATTTTGTGAGTTCTTTGTGTATTCTTTTTTGAATGTTGCTTCCTTAGCGCCACCCCTACTTTTGCATCTTCCCCCGTTCGACACGGAAAAATAGTCCTGCGGACCAGCGCCTGTCCGAGCGTGTTGTATTTCCAAGCAACGGTGCGCGCGGCAAAAGCAACCGCCACATCGTGTATAAGGGGCTTTAACGAGGTACCAACTGCCAATACAACCAAACCACGATGAGCGACGCGGACTCGCTGTCGTGTTCCCTAACCCTGGAGAGTGATGAATACGACGAGGAGGAGTATGACACAAATTTGAGCAAGCTTCTTGATAATAAGACCCTGAACTGGATCTTCGTGGGTGGAAAAGGAGGCGTGGGAAAAACGACAACATCTTGCTCAATAGCGGTACAGCTAGCCAAAAGAAGGGAATCCGTTTTACTACTATCGACAGACCCAGCACACAACACAAGTGATGCCTTCAATCAAAAGTTTACCAATCAGCCAACCCTTATAAACTCCTTCGATAATTTATACTGCATGGAGATTGATACCACCTACTCAGAAAACACAGCATTCAAATTAAACAAGACAGAATTCTTCGATAGTATAATTCCGGAGCTACTACAAAGTTTCCCAGGAATAGATGAAGCTTTGTGTTTTGCGGAGCTAATGCAATCCATAAAGAATATGAAGTATTCAGTTATCGTGTTTGACACAGCCCCTACGGGACATACTTTACGACTGTTGGCCTTTCCGGAATTATTGAAAAAGGCATTAGGCTATCTGATAAGCTTGAGAGAAAAACTCAAAGGGACTTTAAATATGCTCAAAAGTTTTACAAATAATGAAATTGAATTGGAAGGAATATATGAAAAAATTAATCACCTGAATGCCATGTCCATTAGTATTCAATCAAATTTTCAAAATCCATTAAAAACGACTTTTGTATGTGTTTGCATCCCAGAGTTTTTAAGTGTATATGAAACGGAAAGGTTGATACAAGAATTAACAAAGAAAAATATTTCTTGTTATAATATAGTGGTGAATCAGGTGGTTTTTCCTCTCGACTCCACCACCGTGGATGTATCCCATTGTGAAGGTCTACTTAAACAGATTAAGGACAAAAAAGTTCAAGAATCATTTAGTAGCCTTGTACAGAAAACTAAGGAACTTGAAGATGTGTATATATCTAGAAGGAAGCTGCAGTCAAAGTACCTGACTCAGATACAAAATCTTTATGGTAACGACTTTCACATCGTCTGCATGCCTCAACTGAAGAGCGAAATACGGGGGCTAGAAAATATTTCGAACTTTTCAGAAATGCTTTTGGAGTCTAAGGAAATTCCTATATACCGTTGAGCGGGGTACTCGCCTCCACGTCAGTTGACCGGTGTCGTGCATGATCAACAAAGGATTAATAAGGGTTCCTCATCACCGCGAAGCGAAAATGCAAAGGGGGAGAAGTGAACCGTACAGGGGCCATTCGATTAGCTTAAAAAAAAAAAAAAAATTAAACATTCTGCGCCACACTCTGCAGAGGTTTACGTAATGATTTAAAGTTGACAAATCTGCTGCGCGCAGAGCAACCGTGCGCGCCTACATGTGCATATTTACGTACACACACATGTAGACCTAATTTATATATATTCCCTCTTTTGCACGCAATAACAAGGAATGGCACAAAGGGCACAGGGACCAAGAGCTGAGAAGTGTGCTACGTCGAAATGGCCAGGGGTGGAGGAGAGGGTTTTTTTTTGCCGTGCATAATACAAGCGTTGTATGAGAATACGTGCACATATATAAATATATATACGCTTACGTTAGTGTAGCTGTGCCTCTGTACATGCACATATTTGCACATGCTTGTGTGAAAAGTTTTTTTTTTTTTTTTTTTTGTGATGAAGGCGAAGCAGGTGCAAAACTTCTTCGAATTCTCAGACACGTGAACACTTAACGAAAGCATCACTCTTTTAACAAATACGAGAAAAGTGACAAAAAAAAAAGTAGCAGTGTGGAGGTGAAGGACGTGCATACATACACGTTTGCAGTATGCACATATAAATGCCAATGGTACACCCCCCTCCACATTTGTGTCAAAAAAAAAATTAGACCAAGGGGGAAACTTAGTCCGTGAGTCTCAGTAGGAGAACATTCGAGGCTTCAGCTACGTCCTGCTCGGGGCACTGCGAGTGGGGAAGAGGTGGTGGGGACACAACACAAAGTGTGTACAGAGTGTTATGTAGTTGCATATGTGTACACATTTGTGTGCTCCCTCGGGGGAGTCCAAAAAAGAAATGACACCGCCCGTCTTACCTGCTGCAGATTTTTCAAACTTTTAATCGCGTTGGAGTTTTTAACGGCTTCCAAAAACTCCGGCACTTCGTCTCCATCATTCTGCTCAGACATGCCAAAAAAAAAAAAAGAAAAAAGAAAAAAAATTAGGATGGGCATATTCGTTTCGTTTCCCATGTGAGTAATATCTAGGCACATGCCATGAGCATTTTTTTTTTTTTCCTTTTTTGGCGTGCTCTTCCCGCGCGCCCTACGTGGAACCATCACAACCGCGAAATAAAAGTATAAATTTATATATATGTATATGGGTGTACGCCGCCTGGCCCTACCAGTATAAAATCCTCCAAGTGGTAAATGGCCTCCAGTTGCGTGTACAGTGGCTGGCTATCGTCGTACTTGGGCGGCCTGCGAAGGAAGGGGGAAAAGGGGAAAAAAAAGGAATGGGTATATAGGTAGAAAAAACACATGGATGCCGGGGCAGACGCGGCATGTCTTGAACCGAACTGCAAGCACCACACTTCGCGTCTCACTGCTCTCAATCATTACATTTCAAGCAAATTCACAAGCTGGGTAATTCCTCCCAATTTTAAAAATTCCTTCTTGTACTTCTTGTCTGCAAAAGGGGGAGTAAGGAGAAAATGGCCAACTTTGCAGTGGAGCAGTGACGTGGTGGAGTAGCGACGCGGGGGAGCAAATCCGAGGCAACAACTCCCTTGCGGTGAAGTTGGCCTTTCCGTGGAAATACCCTACACCCCCCACACACATGTTCAGTTGCACTCACCCAAAACGAAAATATTTCTACATGTCTGGGCGCAGGCCGCCTTCATGCCATCAATGTTTGACTTCATCCCGCTGATCAGGTAAGGCAGGGCGCCATTCTCAAACATCGTAATGCAGTTTTTCACATCTGCGGAGGGGGGAAGTATGAATGTGGTGTGAGTGAGAAACTAAGGCGGTGCGTAAATTCACCGACGTGGGAATTAACCCTGCTGCGTCTCGCATATGGCACTTCTTCATCGCCGCCTTTTATTTTTCGGTCCCCATGGGTTCGCGCTCTACACTATGTATATATATATATATATTCTTTTTTTTTGTTTCCGGCTTCTTACTGTCGACGGACAAAAAGGATAACGCCACGACGGCCGCGTGGACTCTGTCTAGTTCCTGTGTTGCAAAAAAAGTGAAGCAGAGTGAAAAGACAAAAAAAATTCCCCAATAGCATCTTTTGTGTACTTAAAAAGGACGCAGCTTTTTCGCCCCCTAAAAAGTTATTACGTGAGATTTTAGCAGATTTATAAAAACGGGTATTCCGTTGGCTTCACGAATGGCGTCTTTGTAATGAGGTTCATCTTGGAAGGAGCGGTGAAGAGGAGAAGATTGAATAGATGTGAGGAGGGGAAACAAATCATGCGATGGATCTCGAATGCGTTCAATTGAAACAACGTCCACGCATGCTCCTCTCAAATTCATTATCACACACGTGTGCACATATAATGTATCCATTTGGAAGTAAAAAAAAAAAAAAAAGGGACACTTTTGTAAATGTATTTTTCTCATTTATTTTTTGTACTTTCTTTACTGGCCAATATGGCCAACTGCGTCGCGGACAGTGCGCCTATCGTTTTAGGGTCAGCCGCCCAGGGGTGCATTCTATCCTCTAACTTTTCAATCTGCAGGATAGTGGGGGGAAGAAATGTTTGCTCAGATACGGACGTATTCATGCGAAATTGCGCAATAAGTGTACACAGGTGTCCTTTCCCTTTTGGTATTTCCCTCACCTCGCATGTGGACGAACACAAATTCACGAACTCTTGCACGTCATTCTCGTCATATGCCTTGTCGAACCGTAGAATGTCATTACCTAAAAAAATAGCGATGTTATTTTTTTTTTTGTTTATTTTTTTTTTTTTTTCTATTATGCGTAAAGGAGGACAAATAATAATACGTCTACAGTGGGCTCTCACGTGACGGAGTCCAAATAGAACAATTCTTGTAGAGGAGCAACTCTCAAAAGGAAGAACTTACTTGTAAAGGACAACAATTTTCTTATTGTCTTTGACCCCTCTATTCCAAATTCTTGCAGCTTATTTTTGTAAAGCAGCTTAAGTGGGGGGAAACGCGCAGGTGTGTGTGGATATGTGGATGAATGTATATGCTCATGAATGTGCGTTTGCGCTCACATATGTGTGCTCTTGCACATTCGTGCGTACACCCCTGGTGAACGCGCTCTCAATACACTTGGGGGGCAACCATTCGAAGCGCTTTCATACAATTTAAATTGAGCAATTTTATTTCTATTTTCCTTACATCTCTTCCTGCACAGCATTGATTTCCCATAATTTCTTTGGCGGTGTTAAAAGGCAAATTAATGTTTTAATTAAACCTAAAACATAATCACGTGTGCTGCTGCTACCGGACAATGGGTATGTTTTTTTTTTTTTTCCTTTTATTGGGTGTGTGTGTAGGGAAAGTATCTATGTTCCCTTGGGTAATGAATTCAATTAAAAAAAAAAAAACTCGAATTAAAAAATTTATATCACATTTAATTATAATTTTATGAGTAAATTCATTCTTTAGGGGTAAACATAAGAACAGTATATGTGTCAACTGTCAGTGCGTACATATATACGTAACATTTTGTTTCGTTTTTTTTTTTTTTTTTTTTTTTTTTTTGCGGTGTTGTAACGCTCACTGTAGATGTTTAAACAACATCCCTACGTGTAACAGCAACTATTTTTTTTTTTTTTATTTTTGTGATTTCCAAAGTCCCCAAATTAAATTAAGTAAAATTAAGTAAAATTAGGCAAACTTGACGAACAATGCCCGCGCGGGGGGTGCCTATTTTGTTAATTTATTTTTGAACCATTAACACAGTGGCCAATTTTGCACACTCCAACACTTTGTTCTGTGCTTTAGCCTTTTTCCCTTCGCAAAATATTTTGCCATTGTCGTGCAACTCTTGCGTAATTTTTCGGCAGTTTTCCAACATTTTTTCGAAAATTTTCCATCAGTTTTTCAGCAGTTGTTTTCAATTTTGTTCAACTTTTCCTACAAAAATTCCCGCAACCGTTCCCGCATTTGTGGGGGAAACAACTGCGAAAACACTTTTTTGCGCGAGTGGGGTTCCACTTAACATTAATGTGCTCAGTGTACTCTTTTTCAAAGTACGCGGGTGTGCCACGCAGAAAATTAAGTTTCGCACAATAATCTAATTTTACGTTCGTGGGGAGGGAGCGCGTGAACCATTTGCACACTCTTATGCTGTCAACTGGAAACAAACAATTTTGGCGCAGCGCACGCGTGGTATATGTTTATATATATATGCGCACTCGAACTTAGGAACGTGCACGTATAAGCGCAAACGACACTGTACATGACATAGCAACATCGTTTACACCTTTGTCCCTTCACTTTTCGACTGAGAAATGCTTGCATAGTACACGCCATTTTACCTGCTTATTTATCATGGACCAACATGTTCTCTTGAAAATGTGTCCTGCCCTTCCCCCTTTTTTTGCTTACACAATATTGTACACCAGCAGTTTAGCAAATTTCCTCTTTTCCATTCGTGGAACAGTTCGCTAAAATGAGCACTACGATGTGTACATATGAAGGTCCTCCTTTCTCAAAAGTGGGTCAATTTTCCATTTTCGCGCAAATATTTTGGTCAAGCAGAAAAGCAACTCTTTTTAGCTAGCCCGATGCCAATTTTTTTTTTTTTCTCACATTTAACTAGCCGTGTTAATGATTTTTTTTTTTTTTTTCAAATAGCAGTGTCAAGGCGAGACCCACGTTCCATTTGGTCATCTGGTCATGTGCTCATTCGACCAATTTGTGCACCCCGCCCTTACAATTAAACCTTAACTATGTTGCACAAAATAAATAAAAATCTCGAGAAAAAAGAAAAGGACATTGGCAAGCGTTTAATTGCTGCCCTTGGAAAAAACCACGCCAAACTTGTAGACATTATGAACGCGTCTGGTAGCAAAAATTAAGACGTAATAATTGTTAACCTACATCCAATTTGCATAAAATGTGTGAATGAAAAGGATTAAGCTATTTGTCCATCTCGAAGGAGTAGCTGAAATGTTGGCTGTTCAGGAACAAACAACAAAATTGTTACCTGACCGTTAAAAAAAAAAAAAAAAAAAAAAAAAATCTAGCTATTTTCAAAAAAAAATCACCAACCTGTGTGTATACATTATAAAAGCATACACTTTAGCTATTTTATTTTTTTTATTTAAGATTTAGGCTAAAAAAAAGGAAAAAAAAATCACGTTCTATGCATAACTGCTCTCGTCACAAACAAGTTCCCCTTTTTAACGTCATAACAAAACTATTCTTAATGATTAAAAAGCTTATTTAAACGTTTTCCTTTTTTTTTCACTCTCTGACCACGTACGAAAAAAGAACCCTTTTTTAACGTAAGACACCATTTATACTCATTTCATTGAGGGGAATAAAAACAAGGAGCGCCACGCAAAAGTCATTTTGAATAAATACCCTTTTTAGTCTTTAAAGTGCGCACGTACATTTAAGGCTCAACAAAACTACGCCGCGTCCAAGGGATGTTCTTCTGGTTGAAGCATGATATTGTCTCTCCCAGTTGGCCCCCCTCCCGTTTGCTTCCCCTGTTTGCCTCCCTCGTTTTTTTCTCCAATTCACTTCCACCATTCTCACCATGAGAACTGTTCTGTGCAGCGGACCATTCATCCCTGAAATTAATGTAGGGTACAACGTGCAGGCGAATGGGGTCAGCATTAACTTCTTAAAAGACCCCTTTTGCTTCAGGGACAAGACGATGAAAATCGTAAATTCTAAACGGAGTAATAGGGGTTCCAATGAAGGGGCACTTCCAAATTATGAAAATGAAGAAACGGTGAACCCTGTTATAACCGTGCAAGCGACTGAATTGCATGGATGCGTTTATCAGGGTGGACGAACAATTGGGGAAACTGCGCGATATGAACATGAGTTAACATATGAAGATGGCTTGGTATATGAGGATGGCTTAGAATGCGAAGGTGGTTTGGCATATGCAGGTGGCTTACCACGCAAGAGCGCTCGTTTTCCGCATAACAAATCTACCATCAACCCCAGCGAAGTGAAGAATGTCTGTCTCCATGACGACAAAATGAAGTATACTCTGAAAAGCGCAGAAGGGGAACGGATCTTCGAAATACCAAAGCTAGATATAAGAAAAAAAAAATACACAGTTCAAACGAATTAATACACTTCCATAAATATAACAGCCAAAAAATTAAATTAAGTTTGTGTGTAGGGGGGGGGAATGTCCCCTTTGATTGAAAAAATTGCCGTCTACAAGCAAACAAAGTGACCAATTGTCTAATGTGCACAGATATACACGAGAATGCGTAGACACAGCTGCGCTTAAAAAAAATTGACGCACATTTGTGTGTGGGGGTACCTCAGCGTTTAAGAAATGACACAACAAATTTTCATGCATATGTTAATACCCTTTTTTTTTTTTTAGGAGAACAAAAAAAAAAAAAAATGAATGTACAGACAAACGAATAACGCGCCACGTTCGCACTTTCCACACTTTGAACTCTCGTCAAAAAGGAACGCGGGCGTGGCAGTTTTAGTGGACGTTAAAAATAGTTGTTTAATAGCTGAACAAAAAAAAAAAGGCAGTGGCCCTCTCGCGAGGTAGTCCACCCACACACCCATGTGCGCTTTCGAGGGGCTCATCATTTTTGCCCTTTTTGGAAATGCGTGCTGCGTGTACATGTGCCCATATAATAATAGCCGTCAGCTGCTAAACAGATATGCAGCTAAAACGAATATGTGGTTGGGGAGATAGCTACCCCTTTGCAAATTTGTCAATTCCCGAGCGGGTGGGTGGGCGCCCAGATCATGGCTCCATCGTATGCTTCGCTAAAAATTCTGTTAACTTAAATGTCACGTCGTTGATTCTCTGCCGAAGGGGGAGTAGCGAATTTGTATCTTCCGTTGATATGAACAGAGCATTTTCTTTAATATCTTTGGGTAGGTTAATTTCATCCCAGGTAATTAGGTCGGCCTTTGTGACAACATCAATCCAAGGTCTGAAGGGAAACAACCCCCTGAGGTAGTAGCGAATGTCTACCTGTGATTTGATGGAGGAGAACTTATGGTCATCTTTTTTCAGAGGATCAAAAATATACATAACTGCTGACGGAATGTTTTTTAATGAGGAAAGGGAGAGTTTCTCCATAAGGTTTCTTTTCTCTTCAGGTCGATTAATTAATCCTGGAAGGTCCATAATTTGTGTTGTGAATACATCATTTTGGTTGGTAAAGGAATAGTGGCCTAAATTAAATTCCTTGGTGGTGAAATTATAATCAGCTACCTTAGACTTTGCATTGGTAACAGAATTGAGAACACTGCTCTTCCCTACATTTGTACACCCTATGATAGAAATGGCTGGTTTGGTAATGTCTATATATTTAATTTTTCTAACACATTTAATGTACGAATTATAAATATCTAGCCATTTCCTGCCTGACTGTAAGATGATATTCAGATCTACAATAGCTTCATTCAGTTTTGAGAAAATTTCTCTGCAAGTTTTTAAGTACTTCATTTGTCCTGCGTATGTTTTTCCCGTAAGAGTTATCAATTTTCGAACTTGTAAAATATTATTAAGGACGTCACTTAATGAATTGGATGCTTCTCCATCTTTGTAGAAATTTGTTATTGCATTTTCATACAGGCTGTACTGAAATGGGTGTAGATATTTCTTTAGATTTTTGTGTACATTGTAGATGTTGTTTAATGGTCGGGAGAGCATCTTTGTGTATAGGTCCACCTTAATGCAGCATTCTTTACAGATTCTTTTTTTCGTGTGTTTTTCTTTATTTATGTTATTGTAAATGCTGGTCAGTTCTAGTTTTATTTTGTCCTTTTTTGTTCCCTTTTTTGACCCTCCTTCCTTATCCATATCGACGTACGGTTCTGCGTTCACAGATTTTCTATCCACATTTTTAATTAAATATAGATTTCCCTTTTCTATAAACTTTAGGTACAGCAGTGCGTCTTTAATTACCTTTATGTTGTCTTTAAATTTTGGTAATTTCTGAAAGATGTTTGCGACGTATGTTTTGATGTGAGCCTTTTTTTCTTTCTCTTTGAATATGCTACTGTAGTCTTTGGTGTCTTCGAACTTCATTCTTTGGATTCGGTTCGGGTCATCTTTGACTAGCAGGTTGTTGCTTTGGTCCTTCATGTGGTCGCTGCTGGGTTGGGGGGTCTCCCCAGTGCCGCTATCCACGATGTTTGTAGTGACGTTGTTGTCGGCAGTGCTACTGGAAGCCTTGCTAGACAAATGTGGGTCCCCCCTACCAACACTTGACTCACTTTTATTCAATTTGAAATGCTCATAAATGCGGGAAAAACCGTAAAATTTTACACTCTCCATGGGGGTACTTTTGCCCGTTTTATCGCTTTCCTCCTCGTTTGTCATGCGCAAGGGGGCGTTCCATTTTTTCCTCCCCCCGTTTATTCCTTTTACACATTTTACGCGTTTTTCCTTTTTGAAATTGTGAGAGAACGCAGGGGCGTACTCCTTAACATAAAGCAGGGCGCTTCTATCGATTCGGTTTTGTCTGACAAAGGAAAAAGCTACGTGGTAACAAATGGTTGCTGCTATTAGGATGGCCTTGCCTACGATTATCATTTTTTTTTTTTCTCTCTCTCTCTTTAAAATTATTTACCCCTTTTTTGCGTTCTCTCACCAACGGTTTTTAATGCGATAAACTTTGCATTGGCCTCTGCCTCCCCCTTTTCTGTTCACTCGTCCCCATAGCAGTAGATCCGTGCGCACGTCTGAAAATTCATGCGTGTGCATTCACACACAGGAGTGTTATATCACACGTTAAGGGAAAACCGGATGTTACATTATGCGGTGTTGACGCTCACATGTTTTAAAGCTCCCATTTTTTTTTTTTTTTTTGTCGTCCAACCCTTTTCCCCGCTGATTTACATAACTACACTGCCAAGCTGCAGTGAGGGATGTACGTACATATACGTATAACTTGGGGAGATGGAGAAAAAAAACATGCTGGGCGATTTTTCATTCGATGGAAGAAATATATCTCCTTAAACCAGTAGTGAAAAGCATCTTATTAACTGCGCCATTCACATGCGCTTCCTCTCATGCGTCGTGGTTTCGCCATTTAGAGATACCCATGTGGAGAGAGCAATCGGGGGAGGTAAACTTGGGGATGGCAATTTGGAGATAACAATTTGGAGATGGCAATGAGAACATGGCAATATGGAGATAGGAATTTAAGAATTGTCGCTTGCCAGTTGGACCTGCTGGAAAAAGCGCATACCGTTGCGTACGTACACGCCAATTTTTCACGCAGATTTTTTTTTTTTTTTTTTTTTTTATGCATTCATGTGATCTGAAAAAATGGACCAACAATTTTGCATTCGCCTGAGTATTTTTTGTTGCGTGTCCGTTCGTTAATTAACCCATTTGTTTGTTTCGTTTTTTTCTCCTTTTTCACGTTTTTCGCGTTTTTATTTTTTTTCATCTTTTTTCCTTTTTTTCCCCTTTTTTTTTTTTTGCCCCTTTTTTTTTTTGCCTTTTTTGTTTTTTTTTTTGCGCCTTTCCCTCCTTTTGTCACCTCGCAAGGCACAATTGTGTGTAAAACAGAAACCCCCATTTGAACGTTTGGACGCCAAATTTAATTACAACTTTGAGGAGGCAGAACAAACGAAGGGAAGAAATAAAATGGACCCTCAACTGTATTCACGTTTGAGGGATTAACATGGTACATGAGTTACACCCACCTTGTGTTCAAACTATTTCCATGACTGTGAACCATCCTGGGGCGCGAAAATATTCCATTTGAGCAAGCAAAATTACGTAAAATAATGCGAAGCAGGGCAAGCTGGGGAAATAGACCAAACGGAAGGAACAGCCCAGACACACCAGCAAAGCAGCAAAGCAGCAAAACGGCAAACCATAATAATTTTCCCTTTTTACGTTTTCCTCGCCCACCTCCCCCTTCCTGCGTCACTCACACAGCATGGGAAACACCGTTCCGTATAACTGCTACGAGCGCTGGGGGAAAAGAAGCCCAGATGGGCCCCTCTTAAATTATGATCCGAGGACGGTAAGCAGGTGCATGCGAACGCGGGATTTCGTGTTTCCCCTGAGTGGTTCGTGTTACGAGAAAATGTTCCTACCAATTTTATGTCCATTTCACCCCCCTTTTTTTTTTTTTTTTTGGTAGCCAAACAACGGAGCGCTAGCAACCTTGCTCGAAAACTTTAACTACGAATCGAACGGAGAGACATATAACGGAAGTGGGAAAAAGGGCCACGCATCAAACCAGGGTTACCAAGGAGGGGGAAACCCCAACAGCAACGTAAACATGAATAATAGAGGCTACAACAATAATGCGAACTATAACAACACAAACCCAAAGGTAGTAAGAAATGCGAGGAGGAGACCCACGTATTCACCAACGGCAAGGAAAATAAAACTGGAAACGGAGGAAGAGGAAGAAGAGGATAAATTATCAACAGACAATTCAGATGAGAACATTTCAGCCAAAGATATAAAAGAGGAAAAAATAAAACAGTACAGAAAAACGTTAACAAAAGTTGTAAAAATAAAGACAGCAATTTTTCACGAAACTGTTAAAGTTACTTGTTCAAAGGATGGAAAAATGCTGGAGTGGTATAAGGGAAAGGCAGAAGGAGATGAGAAGAAAAAACCTATTGGATCATTTTCTGTGAATAAAATAACTTCAGTACGAACCAAAGTAGACAACCTCAAGTCGCTAGAAATAGCAGTGAGTAGCGTTAATATAAGTACCTATTTGTTTATTTTCAAAACCCGAGAAGAGAGGGAAAGTTGGCAGAATAACTTAGAGTCGTTTAGGAAAATTATGAGCATGAAGTAGTGCACGCTGAGTAGCACTCTCGGCTGCGCGTCGAAGAGAAAGGAGGGGCCATCAAAGTGGAAATACTCTCAAAAGGGTAAATAAAGAAGTAGGCTCATGGCTAGCTAGATGGATAACTCTCCCAAATTTGATTTTAACTCCTTTTTTCATTTTAATTAGCATAATTTTGCTTTCATAACAATACGCGGGGGGAAAAAGAAAAAATGTGCGGAGAATCCTTGCATTCCATTTTTTTTTTTTTTTTGAATAAGCGTTTGCCTCGACACGGCACGATACCTTTATTTTTCTTCATTTCGTTTTTTACACCTTTTTCCTTTTTTTTGTTTCTAAGTCCGCGTAATTTTTTTTAGTCCCCGATCCCCCTACACCCGTCGGTGTTATTTTCCCGCGTTCCCCAGGGCACGCGAATTTGCATGCACGTACGTATATGTGTATATATGTCGATATGCACACAGTTAATAGACTCTCTCATAGTTTTCACATGACCGTTTTGACGTCACCTTTTCCGAATTTCTGCATGAGGAGGGTTATAAAAAAAAATGCTAAAAAAGTAGAATCGCCACTGTATGATGCATTCGTTTTTTTTTTTTTTTCTGCGCACCTATTTTGTAATCTAAATAAAAGGTACTTTTCTTAAATTGCTAACAAAACACAAAAGAGGGTGCACAAAAATAGCAGTATCGCTTCTAACAGGTGGGTAATGACATAGGAAGATGAAGCAATTCTTTCCTTTTTTTTTCTCTCTCTCTGTGCTACATGTAAAGGTGGGTGTACACAGTTAATCGGCATGTCTACTTTACATTACCGCGTATCTTACTGTGCGCTTTTATTTTATTTATTTATTTTTTCTGCTCACTGTAATGTAGGGAGCGTTTTCGAATTTACCTTTTGAGTAGCGCAGGGAGGAGGGTCAATCTGGAAGTCGCGCCTCTGAGCGAAGGATGCCTAGCGAAATAAGCTAATGGAAAGAAGCTAATTGAAAAAATAATTTAATAAAAAAAACAGCGAGGGGAGGACCGACTCCCTTGTGAATACCCCACCCATCAATCCTCTCACACTCTACGCATGTGCACATGTACACACGAACTTATTGTCCCAATTAACAGTATATAAGAAAATAATATATAGAGAGTGCAAATCTGCATGTGAAGGAAAATTGCACGAGGATATAATTCATCTCTGATGTATAAAAAGGAACTCTACAAAAATGACTCCCAATGACATTGTGAGTGAATCAAGTGAAGCTCATGGATCTTGCAAAACGAGGGAATCCCAAAATGATGAAACTGAAAAAAAGAATGTAGACTATGCTGCTTCCAAAGGCAGTGAGGTGGAGGACAATTGTGAGCGCAGAGAAAAACGGGATAGAAGTTCATCTTGCGAGTCTTACAGGCCAGGTAAAAGCGTGTTGAGGTATTGCACACGCATCTTCGTTTGCATCTACCTATGTGCATATGTACACATAACGGTATGAAGCAAGTACCACCCCACGTATGGAAATATTAGGCACTCTCTTTTGCCATATAAATGAGCACACCTAAACTTGTTGTCATGCTTTAATGATTTACCACTTGTGTGTGTACCTAACCTGTTTTTATTCTGTCGCTCCTTTTGTTATGTTTTATTTTGCCCGTTTCTCCTCCTTTGAGTCTACATTCCCTTTTTCATAAAAAAAAAAATTATTCCTTACCTGTTCAGATAAAAAGAAGCTGTGTTGTTGTCACGAAAAAGGCAGCTCCAAGTGCTCCAGCAAATCCGAAAAAAGTGGCTCAACCCCTAAGGTGAAGAATTCGGACACGCTAAGCACAGGTACGAGTGAAAATTATTTACCCTTTTTGTGATCGCTGTCGCTATCACTGACAGAGGTACGGAAGCCCACGTATTCCCCCTGCACATGCAGCCTCCACAGGAATCAACGAATGTGCAAACAGCTCGGAGAACTTAAATGAACCCTTTAAATTTTTTATCGGTGGTATTCCACAGAACATCTCAAATAAGGTAACGGGGGCGCCCCGATTCGATAGGGCATGTCATGCTTTCTCTTCACATGGACAAAATACGCCACTGTGTCACTGTTTGTCTCCTTCTACTAAGTGCCTTCCTGTTACCTCTCCCTCATGCGCACTTTCACGGTGTAACTTTCCACTCCACCACACACCCCGCACAGTACCTAACAGAATACTTCGAAAAATACGGACCCGTGCAGAATGTGGTCATCGCACAAGATCACGAAACGAAGAGAAACAGGGGATTTGCGTTCGTTACAATGTCATCTCAAATAAATAAAGATAAAATCCTAATAGTATATAGAAATATAAAATAGTTCCTCAAATGAATAGGCGTAAATTACGCAGCGTCGTGACGTGTGTTAATGCACACACGGGCGGAAGTATGCACATGCATATACGTATGTGTGTGCTTTATTTTTATTCCCCCCGTTCCCCCTCAGGATACGCATGAACTCAACGGGAAGAGAGTGGACGTTCGTGAGGAGAATAACACGACCCCCTCAGACATCCAGCGTAAAATATTCGTAGGAGGACTGAACTACTACTGGACTAAAGACACTCTAGAGAGGTATGAACTACGTTAATAGAGGGGAGGAATAACCTTTTCAAAAATTGCACCTCTTTACGCGTAATGATAAGGATGCGTGTCTGCATAGCTACGCATGAACAAGCGCACAGAAGGGATAGTAAAGGGATGTATCCCCTGGACACCTTTTTATTTTTTTTATTTTTTTTCACCCTTACGCAGCTACTTTTCTGCCTTCGGCGAAATTGATGTAGTTCAAATTGTATTGGATTCTTCGGGTAGATCCCGATGTTTTGGCTTTGTGGTTTTTACACATGAATCATCCGTGGCCAAAGTTCTGAAGCATAGGAGGCACAAAATTTACGTAAGTGCAGGAGAAAATATAATTCCCGGAGGGAACAAAATGAGTGCACATGTGCTATAAGCAGTCCCATTCCGTTTTTTCGTCAGCCCCGTTCTATCAAACCGCTTTTTCGTTTTCGTTTCCATTTCTGTTTGAACTCCCGTTTTCCTTCTTAGGACAAGATGGTGGAGGTTAGAAAAGCGGAGCCGAAGAAGCCCAAGATGGCCATGAAACGACAACACAGCAAAAGGTAAGCATGAAAATGAATAGTATATTTTTCGCCCTCCCCTACGGAGGACACGCGCAATGAAAAGGGGTAAATGTTTCGTGCTTGTACACACACACGCGTGAGTACGCTTAACACACTGTCCCTTGCGCCCATTTCCTCCCCCCCCTGTACAGCCGCTCCAAGTTTGCACACCCCCCGCCATTCATGGCGCCCTTCCCCTGCAACAAAGAAACGATGGCACACTGGGCTAATTTTATGTACAACGCTTGTAGAATGCCCTTTTTATTTAATCACAGATTTCAAAACATGCCAGATTTTTATCCGAACTACGGCTTCTATCCTAACTCGATGGAAAACTCACATCCACCAGATTATAATAATTAGCTTTCCGCGATGTTGTAACCGTTGCTGTGATACTTTTGCAGAGTTATGATTTTTTTTTTTTTTTTTGCGCACCTTCAGTGATAATTGTAATGTCTCTTTGGTGGTTCCCTAATTTTAACGTTAATACCCATTGTGATGATAAGTTTTTTTTTTTTTTTTTTTTTTTTCCTTTCCTCAAGAAAGGAAACCTATTAATATACATTGTTGGCGATGCATTGTTCTTTGCAAAGTGTCTTAATATTTAACATAAATGACAAAAAAAATGGTATTGTTAAAAATGGCTAAAAAAAAGGGGTAAATTTTTTATTACCAACAAATGTGTGGACAAAAAATGGACGCGCCAGGGGGAAAACAAAAAACAAAACCAACTCAAACGCGCCTTTAAAATACAAAATAGGCAGACTTCCTATTTTCAAATCTTCAAAAGGTGGGAGCAAAAAAAAAAAAATGTTTCACTTAACGCAGAAAAAGGATTTTATGTTTTTTTTACTTTGGTGGGAACTTGAAGAGTTCTCTCTATCTGAACTAGGGCAATTGATTTCTTCCTCTGCCTTAGAAGTATTTTTCTTTTTTTTGTCCTTTTGGGCTTGAAGATCATCTTTTCTTTTATTATACCTTTTTTTTAGGTTTAAAAAATTAAAAAAAGAATTGATTCTCCTTTTTTTGTCTTTGGGTTCGTTCTCGTGACTTGGTGACGACTTTACACTTTTTCGGTTTTTAAAGAACCCGTAAGAACGTGTATTCTTATACGTATGAGATTCATTTTTGTTTTTTTTTAATTCGTTCCTTTTGGCATTATTGCCATGGTTGTCTGCATTGTGAGGGTTCGGAGCACTGCCCCTATTCTCCCCATTACTCATGTCTTCATTAAGATTATAATAACTCCCATAGTCCAGGTCGTCATGACCACTCTCGTTAGCAGCATCCGTGTTAGTAGGATCACTGCGTAACCTTTGCATTAATGATATGCCCCTCCTGGTGGCATCTACTTCCTCCCCTGATTTTTGCGAATTCAAGGAAACTATTCTATCAGCAGAATAGCTTTTCTTGGATATATTACTTAACTTTTTTTGCGCAAAAAAAATACTTTTTGAAGAATATGCACAACTTTTCATTCGCAGAAATTCCTTCAGGTTCTCCTTCTGACTTTCATTCACTTTATTAGTAATGGTCGAATCTTCTTTATGCGCAAATGTATTTCTGTAGTTGCTTAATATGGACAATTTTTCTCCACTTTTGCTTTTGTAGATACGAGATCGAGTCTTGTTCTTACTGTTCCAGGTAGAACTATTGCCAAATAATTTTTTGTTCAGAATATCCGCTATCGATGCATTGGATATGCTAAATTTCTTTGTTTCATCTATATCGTCCTTTTCCTCCGTCGCTTCTTTCTTTTCTGGCGGGAGGAAGTTCACATTTTTTTTCACCTCATTGTCTTTTTTCCTGTAAATCATTAACTCGGCAATTTCTACGCGGGAAAATTGATGGAGAAAATGAATGAAAAAAAAATAAACGCAGTTAAAATGAAGAAGAAAAAGGGATTTTTTTTTTTTTCGGGGCTCGGCGAAACGTTGTCCAAATTTCCTTCACCTCGTATGCACTTATATGTGTATACATTTGTGCGCGTACATTGCCACGCACATGCTCACGCACATGTAGGCGTACGCATGCACCTGCTTCAAAAGTGTATATTCATGCGTATAATACATATATTATGCACAAAAAAAAAATAAAATAAAAAACGGGCTAAACGCAGATTGGACCACGCTTAAACTCCGTTTCGCATATATGCATGGTAATTTTTCCCTTTACTTAGTTGCTTTTCCCTTATGGATGCGTGGATCTTGGGGTTTTCCGCAATTGGCTTTGCATTATTAAACCCTGAAAAATTGTAAAGAGGTGTTTTTTTTCATAAGGCGAGGATGTACAGTAAGCATTCAGAAGATGCCACGCAGCTGGACACAAGTACTGATAAGACAATAAAAGTACAGCCGTTAGTAACTCTATGAAGACATAGAGAGGGTGAAATTTTCGTCCCTTTCTTTTGCAAAGAAGAGGGGCGAGTTTATATCGGGACAACGCGTAACGTTCTTTTAGCAAACGTTTGTATCTACGCGTTGTAACGCATTTTGCATACCCGTGAAGGGGGATGTTTTAAATTTCGCATTCTTTGTGTAATTCATTTTCGTATGTGCGGTTATGCGCTTGCGTTTGGAATTCCTGTACTTGGTCAACATTTGTTAAAATTATTTATTTACTTAGGGGCATGTGGTGGAAGGGATAAGGTACTATTGACCTTATTTTGCTATTTATTTTTTTTTTGTGCAGGTAAAAAAAAAAATAAATGCAACATATGTAACGGAAAGAAGTGTGCGTTTGCACAAATGGGGAACTGGTGTAGGGGGAATAAGAATAAAAGAATTAAACTTATGCAAAAGAACACGCATGTAGGAATTATTTGCACAATTTTAAAAGATTACGGTTGTGCATAAAATTTTCCTCTTTTTTTTTTTTTTTCCGTGCAATATTTTAAAAAATGGAACTATATTATGTTAACAAAAAAACATGCGAGAAGGAATAGACAAACATAATATGTGAAACAACCTTATTTCTACAAATTGCGAAAAGGCAGGTGTCCTTTTTGTGTGTGAGCTTCCATTGTGCTGGGAAACATGTATCATGTGAAAGTTCAAATGTTTACACATCTCAATATGACATCAACGTCTTTTCTTTTTGTAAAGGTGAAAAACGCGGAAAGGGAATTTTCCTTTCAGACTTTTATTTTATGCGTGAATTTATGTCCAAATGTTGACCAAGGGGTTGTAAAAAAAAAAAAAAAAAAAAAAACTCATTTTTCCACCATAAATGAGGATCAACTTACGAGTGAAACACACTTATATTATGACACACGTTTCTCCTTATTGCCAGTTCACAACGTAGAATGTGCATTTTTCTTCCATTTTTTCGAAATTTGGGGTTAAAATGAAAATAAATTTGTTCGCTATCTGATTTGATCCAATTTGATTTGATTTTTTTTTTTTTTGGACATGTCCAAGTGGCAGTTGTTAAGTAGATCGAACGCCGCTCAAAGCGCTTTTGACTTTTCGGGCATTCTGGCCCAAGACCTTTTTTTCTCTTTTTTTTTTTTGTTAAAGACGTATTGTACACTGTTTTAATACTTATGATGGACTGAACTTTCAGAAAAGACTTGCAAAAAAAAAAAAATTCCTCCATTTTTAACATGTCAATATAAAATATTTTCATTTCCTTCATTATGACTAATAAGATGTGAAACTACCACTTTTCCAACTAAAATGGCAATTTTTCTTTTCACACAGGCAGGAATATGGGGAGGTGTCCCTCCCCCCTATTTTATGCTATAAATTCAGCATCACATATATAGCGGATTGTGTGTTTATAAATCTTATGGCAATGTTGGCGACGAGGCCTTACATTTTCTGAACCCCTAACATGAGGTACTTCCACCTTTCAACTGAGAGCAGGGGCACTCACAAAGGTTTTTTTTTTCCTATTTTCAAAATTAAAAATTTTTTTTGAGGATTTTTTTTTTTTTTTCTTTATTTTTTATTTTAAAAAATTGAGATATTAAATAAACATAACGAAATGCATAGTAGCCCATCTTGTCATTACCATTTTGTTACCATTTAGTTGGCCTCTTTTTTTTTTTTTTTTTTTTTTTGGTCCTTTTCCCCCTCTTATGCTTTTCTAACACGAATAACATTTTTTTCAAGCCTTCTTTTCCAAAATTTCACTAATGCGTAATAGATGAAGGTTGTTAAATCGCACGCATTCTTTTTCTTAAAATGGTAAAAAAAAAATAGTGCCTGGGGAATGGAACTAAATAAAACACCACTAGATAAACACTTTTTAAAGCTTACCATTTTTTAAAGATGACAAAACCAAGTGGAAAAAATGACAGCAGATTATTTAGGAAGCTGTTCCGCGAGAAATTGACAAAGGTTGGCCAAAATGAATTTTCCCCATTTTCATAATAACAGAACTGATTAGGAAAATGCACATATATGCCTATTACGCAACGTACAAACATGCGTGTTTCAATTTGAGTCCCTATTCATGCGTCTGTGCATACACATTTGACAAAGAAAAAAAAACACTATTTTTATACGAACCCCAATTTTGTTTTTTCTTCCACAGAACGAAATGGATGACGTTTTTTTTTATTGTAAGCAAGTCATAGGTAAGGGGAAAATTATGCAGCTCGTATAGAAAGTGGAAACGTGAGACCCCCACATATGCATAAAACAATAATGTGCATATGTATACGTGCTCCTCATTTTTTTCCCCCTTTGACAATATTTTTAACGACGTAGGCATCGCAGCGGGGATACTATGTGGAATGTTGCACCTTAAAGGCATTTGGGGATTTCTCTTTTTTTTCATTTTCCAATTTCTCTTATCCTTCGCCCTGTACAACAAAAAAATAGATGAAAATCATTTTATGGACAATTATAGCATCGCAACAAGCAACGTGTTGGTTGGGCTTTCTGCATTTCTGGTATGTAAAAAGGGGCACAAACGTATGCACGTGTTCACATGTGCACGTATAACATATGTACATATATTTTGTGTGTGTATATATTACGTATTCATTTCCTTGTATAAGCAGAATGCTGAATCTGCTGTTGGGGATAAAAACGCATCCCCCTTGTGCGGAATTGCAGATAAAGCAAACATTATATGGCTTTCATTTTTTTATTGTTTTACCGAAGGTATCATGGATAACAGTTAACACGGTGTTAATTTAAGCGAGTTGCATGAGCGGACAAGTGAAAAGAAACGGCAATGCGAAGTGGAAAATAAGTTTTTGCAACAAAGAAAAACAGCACGCAAAAAGAGCTTCATTAACCTGTCTAACACAAGTGATAGATTTTACGAAAGCGTTTCATAGTGGCAAAATTGGAAGCAATGTTACACCATCAAAAGTATACTTTTTAAGCATATCGTCTAGCGTTACACAAAGCAAGAGTATAGAAATATTTTGTTCTTAACATAGTCATAACAAAATTGCTCTTTTACATGTGAGCAATACACAACTGTGAGATCGCTTAAAGAGCCACGAATCGCATCTTAAAGTAGTTCATGAATATACATTCACGTGTAAAGACAGAACATTTTAAGAAATACAGTAAAACTTCATTTTAAACGATGCTGTTTGGTACACGGTGTGTAGATATGTTCGTAAGCTCCAGTTCATCGTGCTCAAAAGGCAAATTATTTTGTGCTCTCAGAAAAAAAAACAGAGTATAATTAACATTTGCAATTTTGCCAAGGAGAAACTTCAAATGTTTAGCAATCTGCAAAAGATAAAAAGAAGATCTTTAATATATTTAAGGCAACCGTTTGTTCTTTTCCATTCTTCACAATTTGAATTCCTACATCCCATTTTGTAAAATCTAGACAAAACAGAAGTTTTGTGATCACTCAAAAACGATATAAACTTTTATAACGTACACGTAAACATGTGTATCCATCAGAAAGTTTATATGCATGACTGCGAATCGTTACTCAACTTATGAGAAATATGCACAAACGATCATTTTTTTCGTATATACAGAATTTTGTATGCGAGACGTTAACGAATGAATTTTTTCTCAAACATGATATGAGAAGTTACTCTCTGAATATATCAGAAAGGCTAATTTGAATTTTTTTTTTTTTTTTTTTAATAACGCAACAGTATTTACAATTCAATGATGAATTAAAAAATTAACACCTTTTCGAAGTACACCCCATCGCATATTTATAAAAATTACACTGCATAAAATGTCAGAGTTGAGTGAAGCCTGCACGCACACGACAATTCAACCTATTTGATGAAAACGTACATTTATATTGCATACATGTGAACATATTTTTTTCGCGTTGCATACGAGTTATATGCATGTGTATATTCAATTTCATATTTGTAAAAGACAACAATTCATGATAGTTCAATGAATTCCATTTGCACGTAATTTCCGAAACAGCCACGCGAAATTACTTCCATAGCTGGTAAAAGGAATTACATTTTAACAGGTAAATGGCTATTAATCGCTTACACATGTACGTAATTTTTTATATATACATAACCAAAGCTTAAAAGATTCAACATTTTTGCTATTTTAAGTTTTTTTCTTTTCAAGCTTTCACACCGCACACAATTATTACAACTATCCCTCAAATACGTGCTCTTCAAAATAAGCCAGACAAGGGCAACACAATTGTGCAAAGCATTTTTAGTATTATTCATTGTTAAAAAATACAGAATTTCTGCTAAAGAGTTGTGTTGTGTACCCATTTTTTTCTTCAAAATATCATTTACTGTTTTACAACCGCCTTTTATTTTTACGCATCTTTATAAAAGCCGTAAGCGCTGTTAAGCCTTTTTCATTATAATTAAAATTTTTACCTCTAGCTACCATAAATGAATAAGTACATTTTGTCCAAAGAAAGGGTAACTTTAAAAGATACACATGTATACTTACACATATGCGTGTACCTTTTGTTATGTTAGTACCCAAAATTACTTCATGCACTGTCTACACACTCACACATATTTTTACCTTTTTAATTTCGCCATTAAGAGGTCGGAAATAGAGTCCATATTTAACGAATTTGATAAGAATAAAAATGGATTAGATGGGAAGCAGCTAATATATTTACTAAAATCGATTGGGATATACCTTAACAAAGACGAATCGGAGGCTTTATTGGACGGTGAGACAAACATTTCCTATATTTTTATTACCCCCATTTTGCTTTTTTTTTTTTATGTATTTTTCTTAATTTGTAAGTATTTTTAATAGTTCATACTGTACATTATAATGTTTTAACATTACATTAATGTAATTCATTTTTGCTCTTACAAAATGTAGAATGTAGGATACACGGTAACCTAAATTTAAATAATTTCTACGCCATTATGCAAGAATTTTACTATGATGAAAATATTGGAAAAATGCTATTAACGTCACTGCAAGCTCATACAAGGGAAAGCGCTAAAACGATTACCATTGCGAAGCTAAAAAACTTGTTGATGACGTTGGGTAAGAGGCTAAAACAAACTGTGTATTTGTGACTACATACATAAAAATGCAGTTTAATGCAGCTCCTTGTTTGCAAACATGTTATGTCTACATGTCCAATTAAAGAAAAAGGAAACAAAAAAAATCCATTCCAATACAGGCACTGGTGTGAGGCTCACAGAAGATGAAGTAGACGCCTTTTTAAATGTAGAATTCAATGCGAATAAAAACAAGGACATATCATTTGATGATTTTATATACAAGTAAAGGCAAAAGCAAGTCCATTATATATGTATTCACATATTTGTTTTACGTACAATGTAGTTGTAACATTTCATTTAAGCACAACTGAATGCCTTTATTTAACAACTTAGGGTATTGAAAGAGTGAAATAAAGCAGATGGAAGCCCCTCTTTTCACGCCTTAATTTGTATAAAACTGTTTTTTGGACTAAAATGATGAAAAATATCCCTAGAGGTAAATAAATGTAAAAAATATTATATTGTACATAATTAGTAAATATGTTGAATGCATTATGTATACTTTTGTATTTTCCTCCTTTTTAGAATCGTGAATCAAGCCATACGAACTAAATAACATCTATTCAACAAATGAAAATAGACAACGTCCAATATACGCTTGTTTTAACATAATTTTTTTTTAAATTAAGATGAATTCGTCCTCATATAATTGGCACATATGCGTTTTGAAAATCCAATTTTTTATGATATATTTACATGTGTGTTTCTTTCTTTTAATGATGTTTATACATAAAATGCTACGTACTTCACATTTATCTTTATTTCCTCATAGAACAAATTTCTCAAACTAATAATAAGAATAACATTGTAATTTTTGTTCTTTATGAACATATCAGTATAGTCTTCTTAAAAAATTGGAAACCCTTATTCTAGTTTTGATAGCATCAAATAAACATCTGAAACATGTTAATCTTTGGGAACTTAAAATTTTCATTTTTTGTGTATTCAAAATAGGATTTAAGTTATGTCTGTGATTATTCTTATCCTTCGCTTTCTCATTTCTTATATACTCATAAAAAAATTTTATTATGGAACGTTTTAAAAATGTGATTATATAAGGAAACTCACACGTGACGAATTTGTCTCTATAGGTTCGTTTCCATTTAAAAATCTTATATGTATATTCTGTTATATAGAATATACGATGTTACCACTTGATATACGTGACACAACTTGTAAATTTTCTTTTTCAGCTCTCCATTCTTCATTGAGATTTTATATTTTCTAAAAAGTACATTACGTAAAACTGTATTAACACAAATTTTAAATGAAAAGGTATATTTTTAACAGGGGTTAATAAGTTAGCAATAGTGTGTGGGTCTTAGGCAAATAAATACATTATTAAAAGACAAAATAACATTATATCACCTATTGGCCACTTCAGTATTGTACACAGCTAGTAATCAGTTCCTTCCCTAAATGTCGTAAAAAATGAAAAAATAGGACAAATGTTCTTAATTATGCAAAAACACAAATGTGTCTTTAAACTTTGCAAATAAGCGAAAATGACATTTATGTAATTTATATTTCTAGTTGTTGCATTGGCAATAATTTGTATATTGTATTTTTCATAATTATAATAGATTATTTCGTTTAAAATTTTACCCATAAATTTTTCTGCACACCTAACAATCTAAAAAGTTTTACGTTCTTAATGAACAGGAAAAACATATTTAGCAAAAGAGCTCTCGTGTCTTACTCTTTTGTTTTTTCTTGTTGAGAACATATACCAATATCTTTCAAAGAAGGAAAATTGGTGTATACACACAGTGCTACATGTTCTTTTAACTCTACCTGTGATGAGCATTACAATTTTATACAGAACATATTTATCACCATCTTATTAAGGTGGAACTAAATATAATATTTGTATAACAAAAGTTAATATAAACTAAATAGACAATATTTTGCGTAAATGAATTTTATAGAATATATATCATTCTTTAGAGAAAACACTGAATCTGGGTCCTGAACAAGTATATATTAACATTATAATTTAAGCAGAAAGCAACAATGATCTTTGATTAAATTTCATCTCTTAATTGTTACACATTAACCTCTGTCCAAGAGTAATAAATGTACACAATTTTTTTACTTATCCTATTCTTGTGCGTTCATGCACGTTATCACTTTCATAGTTTCTTTTTTTAAAAAAGAACATTTTTACTTTTTTTTGAAGAATTCATATGTTTAAAAGTGAATATGCTCATATGATGCTTACATGATTTGGGCGACAACTGATATCTGAATAGTTGCATAAGGATCTTGCTAAATAGCAGGGGGGTGTAACTTAATTGAGTTCGCTTCAAAGGAGGGAATGTATCTTTTATGTTCATGTGCCTATTTTTATTGTTTAACATAGTTTATATTATTTTTAAAGACCTTTTCACAATGGAAAATGTTTTTAAATGAAAGGTGGGGGGTTGTTCTATATGAACAAAGAAAAAGGTATTTTAACTTTCTGCAGAAAACATGTTAACTTCTTAATAAATATGTACAAACATGTTTTGTTATTAGTTGAAGGCTCATTTTAGGTTAAGGTGAATTTTATATGAGACTATTCAAAAGCATAAATATGAAAACTTTAACACGCAACTCTTTGTGTTAGAGGTAATCTCTGTTATATGAATGTGTCTAAATATTTGTATAGTGCAAAGCGTCTTCCTTTAATAACAATTGTACTAAATATACATTTTGTATAGAAATCAATAACAAATGATGTCTCCAAATTATTCGTTTCTTTCCTTTTACATCCTTTGCACATTCATACTGGTTATTTATATTGAAAAATTGCTAACACATAAAAAAGCTATACTTGTATCAAAATGTCTATTCTCCCAGTGAACTAATGTGGGACATTTAACATGGAAATAAAAATGATACTATATGCCTAGGCAAGTTTATTGTTTATTACACACACTACATACGTAAAGAACGTGAAGCTTAATATTTAGTATAAGTTTAACTTAATGCTTTTATGACTCTCATTGGAGTTACAAACAGGATATAAAAACAGTTATACATAAAATATTCATTATATCAAAATTATAAAGGTAATTAAATAATAAAAAACAGTATAAAATTCAGCATTTAATAAAATCATAAATGATCGACATTTCAATTTACAGAATTTAATAAACAGAATGTAATTCTTAAAAAGTTATTTGAAGTAATATGCTCAAAACATATGTGCCATTAGTATTTTAATAAATAAAATTAATTAAATATAATTAAACTAAAATTATAACTTAATTAAAATAAATTAAAGGAAAAAAGAATTTAGTTATATGTAATTTAAAGAAATAGAACAAATAAATTTGTTTATATGTTTAATTTTGTTTTTATAATATAAGTCTTATTTATATTATATTTTATATAATAAATACATTAATTATAAATAATTAATAATTAATTAATATATTTTAATTCCTGTATTTAATTTTTATTATCACATTAATTTTATTATAATAATATAAAAAATATTCGTTTTATATTAATTATTTAATATATTTAATTAAAAACTAAATTGTTTAATTCTTGCTTATTCCCTAAATTATTAATATTAATATAATTAGCTATATAATATAATAAATTATTTATTAATATATTGTTTAATTTACAAAAATTAATTAAATTATTAATGTCAATACTTATATATATAATTAAAATTAATATACTATATTTAATTTCCAATAAATATAATTTATATTTATTAAAATGAATAATAATATTATTTATTTAATTTATTATTATTATAAAATAAATAATAATAAATTATTATTTAATTAATTTTAATATTATTAATTATAATATTATTATTAATTAATTTTTGAATTATTAAGTTTTATTTTAATATAAATTAACTATTATATATATGATACTTATTTTAATATTATTAATAATTTAACTTGTAAAAAGTGGATATAAATAATTGATTAAATAAAAATACACGTTAATTATACATAAATATCTATATTATTTTAATTTAATTATTTTAATGTTTTAATTTATGTATTCCTTTCAATATTATATATAACCCGTTCTTAATTATTCTTTTAATATTAAATTATTTTGCACAATAATTAATTATTATGTTATATATTTATTAATATATTTATATTTTTTAATTTTATTTAATTAAAATAATTAATTATTGAATTTATATTTAATATGTGTGTACACATTAATTTATTTTAATTATTATTTATTTATATAATAAAATTATTTATTATTTAATTGTTTTTATATATATAATTAAAAATTTTAATAAATATTAATTATTTTTATAATATATGTAAATATATATTTATTAATTAAATAACAATAAGTATTACATTATTATTTTATTTTCCATAATTAAATTTATTATAGCTTAGAAATAAAAACAATTAATTTAAATTATTTACGTAATTAATATCATAAATATAATAAATAATACATTTTATAAATTATTATTTAATTATGTATTTATTTGTTTATTGTATATATTATTATATACATATAAATTACATTTTAATATAATTATATATTTAGTTTTAAAAATTATAAAAAATATATTTATATTTTAATTTATAATATATTTTTAATTATGTTTTAACATTATTTATTTAGTTAAATAATTATAATAATTTTATATATTTATTTTAATTATAAAATAGTATATGTATTTTTATATAGGTTTAAATATATTAAAAAAAAATAATAAAAATAACAATAATCAAATATATATAGTATTATTTTTATTGTTAATACTAATTTTATTAATTTTAACAAATTAATTTATATATTTATTTAATTTAGTTATACTTTAATATATTTATTATTATTTATATTGTTAACACAATAAATATATTTGTTAATTAATACGTATATTTTATTTTTACTTAATATATTTATTTTATTAAATGTATTTAAATTAAATATTTATATTTTTTTATATTATTTATTTATTATATAAGTATAAGTTCTATTTTTATTATTATTTTAATTTTATTTACTATATTTATATTTTATTATTATATTTATTATTTTAATTTTATGTATATATTATTGTAGTATTATCTATTGCATTAATTTTATATAATTTATATATTTTTTTATTATTAAATTAAATTATGTGGCTTCAATTATTATTTTAATTTTTTAGACAGTTATTATTTAAAAATATATTAATTTAATTCAATTAATTATATATTTAATTAATTTACCTATTATATTAATATGACTTATTTGTATAAAATTATATTATACATTTTTAATTCGTAACATGCCCTATTACATATTTATTTCTTTATAAATTATTTTTTATGCCTCTTGCTTTTAATTATTATGTAAACAGTCTTTAACGAATATTAAAATTTCGGCATATTTATAGTGCAATAATTAATTGTATAAATATAAATATAATTTTTTAATTTATAATCATTCCACTATTAAAATAATGAACAGAATATGTTTGCAAATACACATCAAATTCATTGGGCAGTGTCAATGTTCTTAGTATCATCATAAGCAAATTGGCTATTTTAACTTATAATTTCTCACTTAAGGAAATTCCTTATTCCATTAGAATATGAATAGACAATTCATAAAAGAATAAACCTCACAGAACATTTTGTGTGCTTACATGTTTGGAACATAATTATATATAATGAAATGAAGAATATGTGTGTTCTATATCTTTTTGAATATATTATTTTTTTAAAAAATACATAATGCTAATTTCAAATGTTCTTAACCATAATAGATGGAAATTTCCCAAATTACAAAATTTTAACTTTTGGCTTTTATCAAATTACACTAATAATTAAGATTTGTGTGGCATTCAGCGTCCAAATACCTCATTTACGATAAACACTGCTCTGGTACTGGAAGCCTGGAATTTTACAACAATTCAAATTAAACTACAATACTTTATTTCTAATTTTTGTGTACCATATAATTTTAACATAAAAACTTTATTTTTTTTTCTACATGTTTTTTTTTGCAACAAACAAAATGCATTAAAACTAAGTGTCTTTCATAATTTATCTTTGCACATCAATACAAACATATGAAGAAACGTAAAAGAAAACTTGAGTATATGTATTTATATAAAATAGTAAGCGTTAAGTCAATTTACGTGTATCATTACAAGCATAAAAAGACGCACAATCAGAGGCTAAAAATATTTCGTTTACGCATATAATCTGGTTATTCATTTTTTTTCGTGTTTTCACATAAACGATATGTCCTTAAAATTTTTAAATATTTGATAAAAAAAAGACAATACTCCATTCATATTTCATAAAAGGAAGCAAATGTTTATTTTGCATTTCCCCTTGTTCACGATTTTAATAATCTATTGTTCTTTTCCAGGATAACACTTATTTTAGTAAATAAGAACTGACGGGACAATCCATTCACAACTTATTGATTTGTTATCCCGCTATTTTTTATGAAATGTAGGCAAAAGCATATTCATCATTATTTAACTTATGAGCATCTTTTTTCATTTTGCCTGCAGAAGTTTTAAGACCTTAAATGCTCCATATAACTGCAGATTAAATAGACGGAGACATAAAGGACACGCTTATAATTAAACGTTCATTTTACTTTAAAGAAAATATAGCCTTGTAAGTGCATAATGAACATTCTTTTTCTTAAATATGCATATGCATTCTTATTAATAAATGTATATATATAAATAAGCTCATAGATAAGTTTGGATCCTTCCGTTTGGTTTCTATATATGACAACAGAAATTTTTACATAATTTCAAAAAAAAAACATACACTTAGAAAAAATCATTTCTTTATGGCAGGTAGTACTGTGTGAATGGAGAATAATATTGTAAAAGTGTCAAATAGTACAACACATTTAAAATTTAGTTGTACGCTATTATCCTAACACGTTTCATTATGATCTACACACTTTGCTAGGTGTTGTATCTTTGTAGAAAATAATGAAGAAGTGAGAAGTTACGCTTTTGTAGACAAAAAAACAGGCACACATTTGTGAAAACTATGCTTCTATATATTTATTGTGACCTCTTTAAAGATTTAACCTCTGAGAAATTACACCAGTTTATTAATTAATTTTTATGTTTTTTTTCATTTTTTATTACTTTTTAATAATGACACCCCTTGTTGCAACATTTTGTTAGCTCTTTCGATATGCATTTCATTTATGTGTCAAAATGGTAAGAAATATAAATCCACCATTCAGAATCAGAAACAGTACAAAATCGTAATTTACTTAAAGCATCGCACATTTTATTGCATACAATTTTGGTTCTGTAAAACTAATGAATCAATTAAAAAATATTAATTCCTCTAACCTTTTCATAGTGAAATGATAAAAACATTGCTATTTTATAACA